TTTGTAGTATAGTCTGAAGTCAGGAAGGTTGATTCCTCCAGCTCCATTCTTCTTTCTCAAGACTGGCTATTCAGGGTCTTTTGTGTTTCCATATGAATTGTGAAATTTTTTGTTCTAGTTCTGTGAAAAATGCCATTAGTAATTTGGCAGGGAGCACAATGAATCTGTAGATTGTTTGGTAGTATAGTCATTTTTACAACATTGATTCTTCTTACTCACAAACATGGAATATCTCTCATCTGTTTATGTCATCTTTGATTTCTTTCATCAGTCTTATAATATTCTGTGTACAGTTCTTTTGTCTCCTTAGGTAAGTTTATTCCTAGATATTTTATTTTTTGTTGCAATGGTGAATGGGATTGATTCCTTCTTTTTCTATTTTTCATTGTTAGCATATAGAAATGCAAGTGATTTCTGTGTATTGATTTTGTATCCTGCAGCTTTACTAAATTCACTGATTAGCTCTAGTAATTTTCTATAGTATCTTTAGGGTTTCCTATGTACAGTATCATGTCATCTGCCAACAGTGAGAGCTTTACTTCTTCTTTTCCAATCTGGATTCCCTTTCTTTCTTTTCTTCTCTGATTGCTGTAGCTAGGACTTCCAGAACTATGTTGAATAATAGTGGTGAAAGTGGACACCCTTGTCTTGTTCCTGATCTTAGGGGGAATATTTCAGTTTTTCACCACTGAGAATAATGTTTGCTATAGGCTTATCACACATGGCCTTTACTATGTTGAGGTAGGCTCCTTCTATGTCCATTTTTTTGAAGAGTTTTAATCATAAATGGGTGCTGAATTTTGTCAAAGGTTTTTTCTGCATCTCTTGAGAGTATCATATGTTTTTTATCTTTCAATTTGTTAATATGGTGTATCACAGTGATTGACTTGCATATATTGAAGAATCCTTACATCCCAAGGATAAACCCAACTTGATCATGGTGTATGAGCTTTTTAACGTGCTGCTAAATTCTGTTTGCTAAAATATTGTTGAAGATTTTTGCATCTATGTTCATCAGTGATATTGGCCTGAAGTTTTCCTTTCCTGTGTTGTCTTTGTCTGGTTTTGGTTTCAGGGTGATGGTGGCCTCGTCAAATGAATTTGGAAGTGTTCCTTCCTCTGCAATTTTTTTGAGAGTTTTAGAAGGATATGCATTAGCTCTTCTCTAATTGTTTGATAGAATTCTCCTGTGAAGCCATCTGGTCCTGGGCTTTTGTTTTTTCGGAGCTTTTTCATCACAGCTTCAATTTCAGTGCTTGTAATTGTGCTGCTCATAACTTCTATTTCTTCCTGGATCAGGCTTGGAAGATTGAACTTTTCTAAGACTCTGTCCCTTTCTCTGTTGATCAACATTTAGGTTGCTCCCCTGTGATGGCTATTGTAAATAGTACTGCAACAAATACTGGGGTGCATCTATCTTTGAATTATGATTTTCTCTGGGTATATACCTAGGAGTGGGATTGCTGGGTCATTATGGTAGCTCTGTTTTTAGTCTTTTAAGGAACCTCCACACTGTTCTCCATAGTGGGTAAACTAATTTACAATGCCACCAACAGTATAGTAGAGTTCCCTTCTCTCCACACCTCTCCAGCAATTACTGTTTGTAGATTTTTTGATGATGGCCATTCTGACTTGTGTGAGGTTGTAGTTTTGATTTGCAATTCTCATTAGTGATGTTGAGCATCTTTTCATGTGTTTTTGGCCATCTGTATGTCTTCTTTGGAGAAATATCTATTTAGATCTTCTGCCCATTTTTTGATTTGGTTGCTTTTTGATACTGAGCTACTTGAGCTGTCTGTATATTTTGGAGATTATTCCCTTGTCAGTTGCTTCATTCACAATTTTTTTTTTTCCATTCTGAGGGTTGTCTTTTTGTTTTGTTTATGGTTTCCTTTGAAGTACAAAAGCTTTTAAGTTTAATTAGATCCCATTTATTTTTGTTTTTATTTGCATTGCTCTAGGATATTTTGGTCCTCTGGTGTGAACAGCCAATTCATTGGGAAAGTCCCTGATGCTGGAGAAGATTGAGGGCAGAAGAAGGGTCAGAGGATAAGATGGCTGGATGGCATCACTGATGCAATGGACATAAACTTGAGCAAACTCTGGGAGATGGTGAGGGACAGGGAGGGCTGGCTGGGCAGTCCATGGGGTCACAAAGAGTCGACACAACTGGGCAACTGAGCAACAGAAGGTGGGTCAAAAAAGATATGGCTGTCATTTGTGTCAGTGTTCTGCCTATGTTTTCTTCTAAGAATTTTAGTGTCCAGCCTTACATTTAGGTTTTTAATTCATTTTGAGTTTGTTTTGGTGTACTCATTAGGGAATATTCTAGTTTCAATCTTTTACATGTAGCTGTTCAGTTTTCCCAGTACCATTTTTTGAAGAGACTTTTCTCTATTGTCTTCCTGCCGCTGTTAGATTAATTGACCACAGGTGTGTGGGTTTATTTCTGAGCTTTCTATCACATTCCATTGATCTATATTTCTGTTTTTGTTCCAGTACCACACCGTCTTCATGACTGTTGTTTTGTAGTAAAAGTTTCAAGTCAGAGAGTCTGGTTCTTCCAGTCCTGTTTTTCTTTCTCAAGACTGCTTTGACTATGTGGGGTCTTTTGCATTTCCATACAAACTGCAAAATTTTTGTTCTAACACAACCTAGTGAATAAACAACAACTGTGAAAAATGCCATTGATAATTTGATAGGGATTGCTTTGAAACTGTAGATTGTGTTGGGTAGTATAGTCATTTTCACAATATTGATTCTTTTAATCCAAGAACATGGTATTATCTCTCCATCTGTTTGTCATCTCTAATTTCTATCATCAGCATCTTCAGTTTTCTGAGTACAGATCTTTTGCCTCCTTAGGTAAGCTTATTCCTAGGTACTTTATTCTTTTTATTGCAATGGTAAACGGGATTGTTTCCTTGATTTCAATTTTTGATCTTTTGTTGCTAATGTATAGGAATACAAAAGATTTGTGTATTAACTTCCTAGCCTACAACTTTACCAAAATTAATGAGCTCCAGTAGCTTTCTGGTAATATCTTTAGCATGTAAGTATCTATGTATGTATCATGTCATCTGCAAACAGTGACACTTTTACTTCTTTTCCAATTTGGATTCCTTTCTTTTTTCTTGTCTGACTGCCATGGCTAGGACTTCCAAAACTATACTGAATAAAGGTATTGAGAGGACATCCTTGGCTTGCTCCTGATCTTAAAGGAAATTCTTTCAGTTTTTCACTACTGCAAATGATGTTTGCTGTGGGTTTGCTATATACGGCCTTTATTATTAATATGTTGAGGTAAATTCACTCTATCTCCACTTTCTGAAGAGTTTTATCATAAATGGGTTTTGAATTTCTTCAAAAACTTTGCTGTATCTATTGGATGATCATATGGTTTTTACTATTCAATTTGTTAATATGGTATATCATTTCTGATGTTCTTGAGAGGCCTGCCCTGCTCTCAACAGACACCTCAACAGCAGAGGTGCTCAGCTTCTCAGAGCCCCTTGCTGTGTGTATGGACACCATCAGACTCAACTTCTCAGTGGAGCTTGGGTGGGGATGGAGGTCTCTCTGCATTGCCTTGGTGTCAACTGCTATTGGTGCTATGGGTGTGGCATCGAGACAAGAGCCACCACCACCAGGGTCTTTTTTCTGCTAGGGGTGTGTGCTGCCTGTGCAGGCTGATGTCCACCATGTGCTGTGAGGTGCGGCTTGCTGGCTGGCTCATGCTCTGAGCTGTCTAGCTTGGTTGATGCCCAAGATAGCTGACTTACTTCAGAAGTAGGGCTTCGCTGATAGCTCAGTTGATAAAGAATCCACCTGCAATGCAGGAGACCCTGGTTCAATTCCTGGGTCAGGAAGATCCACTGGAGAAGGAAATAGGCTACCCACTCCAGTATTCTTGGGATTCCCTTGTGGCTCAGCTGGTAAAGAATCTGCCTGCAATGTGGGAAACCTGGGTTTGATCTCTGGGTTGGGAAGATCCCCTGGAGAAGGGAAAGGCTACCCACTCCAGTATTTTGGCCTGGAGAATTCCATGGACTGTATAGTCCATGGGGTCGCAAAGAGTTGGACACGACTGAGTGACTTTCACTTTTCACTTTCACTTCAGTTCAGAAGTAAGAGACTCTCTGCCTTCTGCGCATGGGAGAGTGTTTTCCTCCTATGGCAGCACATCCTTCTAATTCAGAGGTTTTTGAGTTAAGCATAATCATGAGGCAGAAATGGGCTGGGGATACTTTTATAAGGAGAGGAAGTCCAGGCCCTGACAGGGAACAGCCTTGAACTTCCGTCTATGCCTGCTCCTGTGATCAGCCTTGTGTTTGATCGCCCTGATCACCCTCTGTAGAGCCTGAGATCTCCTAGGGGGACCCTGATTGCTACTCTCAGCCCATATATCCCTCCCTGTAAGGTTTGTGTCATGCATTAGGACTGCAGTGTCTTAGGCACAGTTGTACATGCCTGCATTCCTGGCCTTGACACCGCATAGCTGTGACAGCACTTGCTTCTTGGTCGTCCCTGAAGACGTTGTTGCAGGACTGGAGGTTGGGCTGTGTTGAGTGTGCCCTAGTTCAGGCACAATGAGCCCTCTAGCCCCTTCCCTGAGTGAAAGAACAGCTACCACAGGGAATACTGTTATGAAACTGGGAATTTGTACTTGGCTTCTCTAAGGAGACCACCTCTCCCTCAAGCCACTGAAAAACATGGTCCTCAGTCCAGATACCTGGGAAGAGGGAACAACCCTAAGTCACAGACACATGGCCTCATCTCATCACCCCATTTCTGAGAGAAAACTCTGATTCTCTGCAAGTGGGTTAAGATATGCAGTGAAGTCAGACTTCTCATCCTGAAGGGACTGAGGCCTCTGGATTCTGAGGGGCAATTAGTGCAAGTCCATAGTGCTATGCATATATAATTGGGCCTTAAACAGTGGTTCATGCTCAGAAAAGCACTTTAATGTAAGACCTTATGAAAAAAACAAGAGTCCATTGTCAGTTGCCGGCACCATAGGAAATAGTTTATTTTCCAGTAAAACAAAAATAGGCCCAGAGAGAAGATGGAAGATCGAGAAGCACGCAAAAGCTGTATGTGGATGCACAATTAAATGGTGAGTAGAGGGAAAACATGGTACATTGACTTGTACAGGGTACAAATAACAAGAATGGAACTAACAGTCAAAAGGTCAAACGGAGTTCATCTGAGAGAGCAGAACTGTGGGCACTTACAGTGAAACCCCATGACTGCAGAGAACAAAGGGGAAAGGAAAACATCATTAGATTTCTATGGTCAATTATTCTCCTATGCTCTGTGAAAACCCTAATGTAGAACTGAAAGAGTGTATAACGCTCACACTATCACAGGGTAAAGAAAATTAGCCAATGTGTTAAGTCCACTGGGGATGAGCAGGCCCAGTTAGGATGGGGAGGAATACGAACAGCAGGAAGAAGGCAAGGAGTAAATGTCCTGCCTTGGAAGTTCATCTCTGATAACATTCAGTTTAATTGGTGGAAAGCGTTAGTCGCTTAGTTGTAACTGACTCATTGCGACCCCATGGACTGTTACACTTCCAGTAACTGGAAGACCACCACCCCCCTCCTCCAGCAGAAGTGCTGCATGCTAAGTCACTTCAGTCATGTCCAACTCTTTGCAACACCCCCATGGACTGTAGCCCACCAGGCCACTCTGTCCATGGAATTCTCCAGGCAAGAAAACTGGAGTGGGTAGCCAATCCCTTCTCCAGGGGATCTTCCCAACCCAAGGGTGGAACTATGTACAAAAGTGGTTAGAAATATCTGAAATATGCGTTCTCTCACATTGGGCACCAAGAGACAAGCCCCTTGTGTCTTCATCTGAGAGGGAATCAGCACTTGCATGAAAGAACCTACCACAGCCTGGGGAAGAACTGCAGAAAAGGATTAGAGGGAATACTCCCTGGGACTCTCCCAAGGTCAGGAGCAGTGTCTCTTCTCATCCGCTGGGGCAAGGAAAATTAAAAACAGGTAATTAAAAGAGCATCAGATGGTTGACTCTGAAGGGTTTTACAGACACTGGGGAAACATTAATCCTACTCTAAATTCTGACCCAGTAAGCCATCAGTTCCATGGTAGCATTTATGGACACAGCCTTCTCACTCTCATACCTCACCCCTGGCTGAGTTCACATCCAGACCCTGCGACTGTTACCTAATCCCATTAGGAGACCAACCCAGGGATCTCTTTTTCTCTGTCACTCTCTCCTTAGTAGGAAGGAGCCATAGCAGATGGTATAGACCTGACTACTCTGAGATCCTTCTCACTGGCAGATGTCCCCGAGCAGGGCCCCAAGGCTGGTAGATGGCCAGGTCACCCTAGGGGCAGCCTGCGTGCTGCTTGAATCCTGGGCAGTCAGTGCTGGCTCCAGTCGAGTGTTCTCAAGGCTGACCCTCATGATGCCACATCTCTTCAGAGATGGTGACAGCCAGGAAGGAGCTGCACAGAGGCAAGGGCATTCAAGTACCAGGCTGTTTCTCCTATAACCTGTCCATTATCCACTGCAGCCTAAGACAGTGCAGTGGATAATGCAGAATGGAACAATTACTGAAGGAATCTGTCAACACAGGGAACTTGTACAAAATGCAGGTGGTTCTTCTTATGCACAAGCCATCTCATGTCAACATCAAACATCATCCACATTATCCACTGCAGCCTAAGAGAGTCTTTTGGTCCAGACATCTGCTGATGACAACTCAGGATGAACAAGAGGGCTTGCAGATGGACTGTTATTACCTTGGCTACCTGGATGAGACTCCTCTTTCCATGGTCACCATGGACACAAGTTAAGGGGGTCTCCAAGGTATTAAGAATCGGGATGACCTTACCTATGAAATCAAACCCCTCAAGGATTCTAAGAGGTTTGAACAAATCAAACCCCTCAAGGATTCTAAGAGGTTTGAACATAGGTGGTTTCTCAAGACGGTGGCAGATGGATCTGCATATGAACAGAACAAGGTGGATAGGGAGCCACTGTTCCCCAAAGCAGATGCCAAGTTAGCCCCCAAGACTGGTCCTAGGATATAGTCATCACACAGGGAAAATTTGAGAGCATACGGTCAATTTTCCAACTCAGTGTATAGTGTGTACAACAATATAACTCAGTGTGCACAATACCTGATACAAATGGTTAGTATAATGGAAACAACATATTTAGGTCTTCATATAAAGTACCTTCTCTCTTGTGTCCTCATATTTTAAGTAAGAGATCCAACTTCCATGAGTGATTATAGAATACCAAGGGATGAACAAGCTATTTAGTGTGCAAGGGCCATGAGACCACCCACAAATTTCAGTTCGACCTTCACAGTAATTAGGAATGTATCAGAAGATGGCCAGTTTTATTGCTCCTATCACTCCATCTACACTTCAAAAGACCTGATCTTTGTGGGTGAACATGGCAGACATTATAAACTATCTTTCACGCCAGCAGGCTGGGTGGAATCTGGGTACACGCTTTGATGTTGACGTGAGATGATTGTGCATAAGAACCCCCTGCATTTTGTACAAGTTCCCTGTGTTGACAGATTCCTTCAGTAATTGTTCTATTCTGCATTTTCAACATACTGTATATAAACTGAGGCATTGCCTATAAAAGGAGAACACCTATGCTTTTAATGCAAGCATGGTAAGAACGTGTTGTGGAAACTCTAGTGGAGATTGGCAGCAATGTGACTGTGGCTTCCTTAAGCAGTGTTACAGCGACACTTGCTGTAATGTTAACTGTACATGTGCGGCAGATCTGTGATCACCATTCATGCTATACAAACTGCACCCACTCTCCATGTGGGATGCTCTGCAGACCAATCCACAATATATGTGACCTCCCAGGATACTGCCAAGGGGAAGCTCTGTAGGCCCTGAAAACACATATATGCAAGATGCAAGCCTGTGTTTTGAAAAAGGCTACTGTTATCATGGAAAATGCACTGACCACAACATGCACTGCTGAAAAACCTGGCTCCTGGGAGAGAGCCAGAATGCCAGCCTAGGACTAAGTCAAAGTCACATTTCCGACTGCCTCCACCAGGCCCTGGGGATCACAGTGGACAAGCGGTCCCTGTACAGAGGATGACAAGGTGCCTGGATTCTTAGACATCACTGACCCAGCACAGGATGGCCCCCAAACTTAGCTCTAGACATGTTTCCCAAAGCAACATGGACCTGAGCACAACTACCCAGGACAGCTCTCCACACACCCAGTCAGGCAAAGTGTGTCTCTAACACCCAGAAAGCTGTTTAAGTTAATTTCTCAAACTATACTCTTTCCTTTAAACAGACTAAGCCACTATTTCCTGACTTAGTGAAATTCTGCCCTGGGTGAAAAGCAGGACCATGTTTCCCTAAATCACCACGTCTACTAGTTCCTGCAGTGTAGGAAGAAGGACTGTCCTCAGTCAACAGCTCTGTGGGAGGCAGAGGCCAAGGCAAACATGAAGCAGCATGTCTGTCTGAGAATCAGAAAGAGTCCCCATTTCTCAACTCCAAGGAAGACCCCTTTGGCCATACCCACACCTCCTTAACACTATTCAAATCAAGTTTACTTAAATAAACACTATACAAGCTGAGGGAGATTATATCTGGCTTTCTAACATTTTAAAAACTGCATGTAAACCTACTTTACCATATTAGATTTAAAACTAAGATGTTCTTTTCAGATTCCTCAAATGGTTGGAGACTTAACTTTAAATGTATCATTCTTTATTCCTGTCTTGTAGCAGAAGTGAGGGAAAGGGAAACCAGAATTTCTGTGTTCAGATCCTATCCCTGCCACTAGACGTGTGGCCCAGGGCTGACTGCTGAACCTACTCTGCCAGATACAGAAGCCCCGCTGTGAAGCCTCAAGATGTCTGTGCTGCTCTGACCTGGCCAGGCCCTGCCCACACATCCTCCTGATGGCAACAGGAGAGCCGACTAAAGTCTTCATGGGCATCATGATGAGACCATACGTGCAGTACCCAGACCCCCCGGGACCCTCAGGATGGAGGTGGCAAGAGGGTCAACCTCGCCTTCTTGGGCTCCAAGTACACAGAAACCTAACTGCTTCAAGTCTCTTCCCATTCAATATGCTGAGCTGGAAACAATGCCTTGAGGAAAAGTGCTAGGCTTGGCAAACATTATTTTTTTGCCAATTTTGACTACTACACCAATTCAAACTACAAGAGGATTTTCACGACTTCAATTAGAAAAGTTTAAAGTCTGAATAAATAAATTTTAACTTTTCTTTCAACATCTTCAAAGCAAAACAAAGCAGACAGAACAAAGAAGTAATATGAAGAAATGTTTATCCAACTGTGTTTCATTAACTCATTAATTCAATTTCTACTGTAAATATTATAAAAGGAAAAAAAAGTAAAAAAAAAAAAGGATTCCACTGCTGTGGGTCTAACCAAGGTCCCTGAGCTCCTGAGCACAAGGCAGGGCTATGACAACGCTGGGATGAAATACTGCAGGGAAACATCTTCATGGAGCAGGTCAAAGTGAACAATCTTGTTCTTCACAATATCTAAGGAGAGAGGAAATCCTTTACTGTACAGACCCATTCTGCACACACACTCTCACCCCTAAGCACTGCAGCAGCTTCTCCCCCAAGCCTCTCCTGGAGCACCCAGGCCCTCCCGAGGTGACCAGTCTCCACCATCCCAGCTGATGCCAAACAAGGGGCCTGGCTCAGGCCAGCTCATTTTCCACCAAGGAAGAGGCCAAGGTCTCTGGGGCAACAAGCTACAGGGCAAACTTCCCAGAAACCACATGTACCCAAGTCAACGTCCTTCCAAGAAAAAGCAGCTTCTCACCAGTGAGTCCCTGGCATGTGCTGAGAAGAGGCAAGCACATAGGGTCTTACTAGAGAGCAGGAGGCAGTTTGCAAGGGCAGCCATCATGCAGCCTAGGATGAGCAATGAGGCACTGGGTCTAAGACCCAAAGCAGAAGCCAGCCAAGAAGAAGAGGTGTTGCCACAGCATGAAAGCTGCCCAGCTGCAAGGGCCGTATCACTGAGGGCAGAAGTTACAGGGGCAGTAGGGCATGCCACACCCAAGGAAAGCTAGCTGAAGCCAGATCAAGCCATGTGGCAGGAGAAAGGCAGACAAAGAGCACACAGCAGGTTGCTGAGACCAATCCCAAGAGAATGGCAAGTCGGGAAGGGACACAAGGGACCAGCAGAAGGACACTCATCAGGAAAGGTGCTGGACACACAGGTGGCAGCAGAGACTGAGAATGCTGGGGAAAGTGCCCCCACCCCACCAGAGGTGGGAACTGAGCAAGTGTCTGGAGGATGCTGCCACAAGGCCAGAACCACTAGCAGAAAAGGTTTGGGGTGAGAAAGAAACAGTGTGAGAAACTCGACTCTGGCTGTCATAACCTTCTGTTCCCCCTCCCTGTATGGCAGCTAAGCCACAACCCCCACTCCCTACACTTCCCCTACGAAGACAGGAGGAGTGGCTTCCAAGGATCCACAGTGGGGCATCACCCAGCCTCGATGGCCCAAGCCAGAGCTCTGAAGAGGCATCTGCACTTGGCCAGGTCCCCAAAGGGCCCTGTGCATGCAGGCAGTTTGAGAAGCACTGTCTTAAACTGGGAGGACCTCATGCTGAAGCAGTGCATCCCCATTCTCAGCCTTAGGGGCGTCCACACCATAACTTCTTTAGATGCAGTGCAGGCAGACCCTGGCCCCTACCCCACGACTCAGCAGCTCTCACTGCTCCTTCCCTATCATGGTTTTCTGCACCCCCCTTCTGTACCCTCACCACCAGTGCAGGCCTCATGCACTAACGCCACTCCCTTCCAGTGGTCAATCCTCCTTCACTGGAAAACCTTCGGGAACCTCCTACTCGTTCTCTACAGTGCTGACTATCTGACAATTATTAGGTATCCTATATTCCTGGGTCACCCTTCTCAGATCTGTTCACTGGTGGTGGAGTGCTCAGACTGGGAATTCACAGATAAAGAGGTGTCACCTCCAAGCAAGGCCACAGTTTTCTTTCAATTGCTGTGATCTCAATAGCAAGGAAACAGACATAGCCTTGAAAAATTCTCAGTAAGTGAGTCTTTCCTCATCTGTAATCAAGGACTAAAGGGTGAAAAAACATGTGAAAATGAGAAAGACAAGGCCAACCAGAATCAAGAGCGCCATTAAAAGCCACAATTAAAAGTCAGTAGACAGCACAGATGACAAAACACAGGACAACTGGAACAGGTCAGGCTGACACAGGAAAGAAAAGAAATGCTTTGAGATGGAAACTTAAATCCAAGCCCAAAGGACACAGAGATCCTGTACACATAAGGTTAACACAGCAAGATGGGGCCAGGTGTCTCTGCCCATATGCATCTTCTCTGTGGATGCAGACTCATTTATGACACCAGGTGAGGCAGTCCAGACCCATCTGCCCGGGACTACTCAGGAAACTGGAGTCCACCAGTGACCGAGCTGTCTCTGCATTTATGAGACTGTACACAATGTGTAAGACTACAGTTGATTACAGTGCTTGAAATATGAAAAACAAATCAAAATGCAAACTTACTGCAAGTGGCCTTTGTAGGATTTACTTGTTGTCCAGCAAGGAACTGTAGGAGCTTCCTAATGTCTATGTGCACTTCAGCCATTTGTTCTGAGTTTCTATCTTGAGAAGCATTTTCGGAAGCTAAAACGACAGGAACATTTTAAGACACAATTATCTTCCAGTGAAACAGGGAAGTGAGAGACTGCAGGATGACTGTTTACATAAATAAATGGTTTACTTGACCACTGACTTGAGAACCTACAGAAACACTGCATAATATAAATGTGATCGCTCACCAAGCAAGCATTTACTAAGTATTGACCCACACTGTACTATGGGAATTCCCTGGCAGTCCCGTGGTTAGGGCTCAATGCTTTCACTGTTGATAGTCAGGGAACTAAGATCCCAAATGGCTTGCAGTAGGGCCAAAAAACCATTCCTAAAACAAGACCATATACAGCTAAATCAAGCCCTCTCACTATAAAGTGGAATGAAAGGGAAGAAAACGTCCTTTCAACTCTGGGAAGGTATCAAAGACCCTCTTTGTAATTTACTAAAATAAACAAAATGAGCAACACAAAAATAAGTCACTTCATATAACTACTGTCAAAGCTTTATTAACATGGATTTCACTTTGCTCCAAGGCATGCCCTTCACTATAAAGTAAAATTCTCAAGTTACAAAGTGTCTCTAATAAGCAAACTGGTACTAAGTAATTTTAACTCTAAAAGTGGAAGGAGTCTTATCAGACCTACTTCAGAACACATGGGTGACTAAATGGTTTTCACAGAGTGAGTACCTTCCCAGAGTCTGCATCGTTCCCTGTTGGACCTCCCTCCCACAGCCTGCCCACCACTGTGAGCTCTGCAGCAGACTCTAATCTCTGAGCCAAGCTACTCAACCAACCCAGTGTCCATTCCAGCACTGTTTACGACAGCCAAGACATGGAAGCAACCTAATGTCTAACAACAGAGGAGTGGATAAAGATGTGGTATGTTATTCAGCATAAAAAAAATGAAATAATGTCATCTGTAGTAACATGGATGGACCTAGAGATCATCAAACTAAGTCAGAGTAAGACAAATACCCTTGCATGTAGAGTCTAAAACATTGATACAAATGAGCTTATTTAACAAAACAGAAACAGACTCACAGATTTAGAAAACAAACTTATGGTTATTGAAGAGGACAGGTAAAGGGGAAGGATAAATTAGAAGTTTAGGATCATCGTACAGAGATATATATACACACACACACACACCCCACTATATATAAAATAAACAATAAGGACCTATTATACAAAACAGGGAACTATACTCAAAGAGTCTGTAATAACTGTTATGGGAAAAGAATTTGAAAAAGAATAGATACATATTATAACTGAATCACTGGGCCATACACTTGAAACCAACACAACATTGTAAGTCAACTATACTCCAATAATTAAAAAAAAAAAAACTTTTTTAATACACACACACAAAAACAGGAGAAAATTAAAAGTGTCATCTATATTTCTGACTCCACCCAGGTGAGAAACTGTAGTTTTTGGTAAAAGGCACAGCAAATGAAGAGCTAGAAGGGCTCTTGGACGTTGTTGAGCCCAAGCCTAGGTTTTGCAGATGAGGAACAAGGAAGCCCTCAGGCCCACACTTCAGCTTCTCAAGTCCAGGAGGTTCACCTTCCCACCACACTGCAGTAACAAGTTACCCAACCCCATCATGTGTTCCCTTCCTGAGCCTGAAACACAGTCACCCGAAGTTCAATTCTTTTCCAACTAGAGACTTCAGTATGATATGTCATCTGAACAATTTATCACAGGCAAAATATAACCCACCAGGAAACTTACCTAATGGAGGATTTCCAAGATCTTTAAAGTGAGTTGTAACACACACTAGCTCAGTTTCTATTTTCAAGTTCAATTCTCCATTTAGGTTTGCTTCAATAATCTGCAAATTGAGTATTTTACAGTCTTAAAAAAGCAAAAGGGGAAAAAAGGTGGATATCAGCTTCCAACGAACCAGGTGACAAACTAATCCCACAAATCCCAGGACACTTCAGACAGCGCCAAACCCCACATGGCATCAGCAACAGAGAGAAGACACGGCTGAGCACAGGGCCTTAAAATCTGCTAGCAGCGCTGACAATGCAGACGTTGTGCAACTCCTGTAAAACAGAGCAAGAACCAGAAGAGAATGTGAAGCGATAAGCACGCTAACTGCCTTATTTCGACAAAGGGACCAACCTATCTATTACAACTCAGCATAACCAGAAAGGCTTCAGAATATAGCAGAATATAACCATTTATATAAAGAATAATCCCAGACATTGGGAAGTGAGATTTCCAAATTCAGAAAGACCCAGAGATGCTGTCAGGAGTCTGGACTCCACCAGGCTGTGGCGCCCTGTGGCTGCCGTGTTTTCTGCACTCAGAGGACAGCTGGGCTTGGTGACTGATCGCTGTGGCCCTCCCCGCCCCAACAGTGCCTATGACTTCCCTCAGGATCAGAGGGGCCCTTTCATTTTACGCTCTGCCCTGCACCAACCAACAGGGTCTCTAAACTACACAAAATCTAGAAATGAAGTTCAGAGAAAGAAACAGGTACCATGATATGGCTTAAGATTTTGGCCATTTGCCCAGGCACACTACATTTCGCCTTCTGACATTAATATCTGGCCATTTGTAAAGTCTGGCAGGTCTTTGGAAAGCCCAGGCAGCAGTGTGCAAGTCAACATTTTGTTCAACCAACAATACAAAACTGCCCCCAAGCCACTGCAGATAAAGGTGGTCGCTTCACTAGGGAGCCACTGCAGAGGTACAGCAAGAGGCAAGAAGCCCCAGGATGAGCAGAGGACACCCTGTTCCACAGGGCTTGGCCACAACTAAACCTCAGGTTTACTTAGGAGTACCACTTAGTATTTTTCATTCTTGCTCCTTAAAACTAGTGAACTCTATTTCTCATTGGAGCAACGAAACAAAAAAGATGTTTTCAACTTACTAAGGCTTTGACTTTACATAGGAAACAGCCTCTAAACATCCTTGTTGTATCATCTAGTATGCGTACCTCTGAATGGGAAGAATTCATCATCAATCTTATCCTTTCACTTCCCAGAAGTACATGATGTTCCTAAGCCCACTCTATTCTCTGGAAAAAATACCTGCCTAAAAAAAAAAACATGTAAAACAATCCTTGTGCACATTCTGGACTTGTGAATATACAGTGCACAGGGACTCTGTGAGGTTAACACATAACACAGATCCATCTGTTTCAAATAAGCACACACTCAGTATCTACCTGTAAAGGTTCACTGCTCTTGAAAAACAAGTTTTATAAAGGTTTATTCAGGAAAGCAGCTTGCAGTGTCCAAGATTCACTCCAGATTTAAACACCTTTTTATGCTTTCTTCAAATTCCTAAAATCTGAGTAATCAAATGCTGGATCCATCTCTCCAAGCACAGTGCCTGGTGCAGGGCAGCACTCAAACAAAATTTACTGAAGGAATTCACCAAGGACCCTCCAAACACCGCTCACCGTGCTTATTTTGTTGAGTGTTATCTATAGTATTATCCAAGTCAACACACTCTTCTGTTAAGGATGTGGATGGGATCTGACTTCTTTCAGAGATTTCCTTAATGATAACTACTGACCATTCATGGAACAGGGATGAGACGCTGGGAATCTAACATAAATTATCTCAACTGAAAAAGTAACAGAGCCCCTGTGACTGTTATGCTGGATAACACTTCCCACCAGGGTGCACCACTTAGTGGGGGTCGGGGGTGGCTCCAAGGACTCAGCTCTGCCAGCGTATCATGATGCCTCCTGCCCCAAGTCTGCTCCTGTGAAGCTGAGACAGGTAAGGGGTAACACAGCACCGCTCTGACCATGGAGCAGCACCACAGAAACAGCATTGCTGCATGCTCGTCAGAAATCAGTCCCAGACCCCACTGCAGATCTCCTGGACCAGAACTTGCATTCTGTCTGAAGGAAATCCCAATGCTTAAAACCTGATGGAGACTCTTGGCAGTCAATGCCTGCTGCTTCTGCTCCTACCTGAGTCACACGCACAACCCACCCCCACTAGCCACGTCTCTCACTAAAGGAAGTAAGGAAGGTGCCTCAACAAGGGCTGCTGGGCCTCTGACTGGAGGAGATGCTTTCAATACGTTGAGTAGTACTCATTTTCCTTGATTCTCTTGCCTGTTATCTTCAGACACAGAGTTCTGGTTACTCAAGTTAATAATGTTATGCCCTTGGCTACTCCAGTTTTCCACACGCTTGATCACTTTCCATTTAGTATTTCACAGTGCAGTAGCCACTCCACAAAATCCTTGTTTTTAAACACTCCAGGGAAGAGAAAAACACCTCTGATGATTTTTTATTTCTGATGATTTAATCTAAGCTACTTTTGACGACTCATTTCTACTGGACACAAAGAACAAATAACCGGGTCCTTGAATTAACTGTTCTGCCTTTTCTCTCCTGGGCCTCTCAAGGGCTCCAGGATATCCCCAAAAGAAGCCTCCAGCTTGACAACTGGATCAACATCAGGACAGGCACAGGAGAACACTCACGTCTGCATGGCACACACTGCTTCATGGGAAGTCATTGTAAATTAAAGTGAAATCTACAGAGTAAGTCATGAAAGGAAATTACTCTCAAGTGAGCACAACTTCAGAAATGAAACCGTCCACAAACATTTTCCAGGCTTCAGAAAACTTTGGTAACGCCACAGATCTCCTGAAGCTAATTTCATTCCAGGTCTTGCACTAATACCTGTTATCCGCCTGCTGAGTGGCAACCCCACACCTACAGTGAGTGGCTGTCGCGCAGAGATGGTTAAGACAGTTTCCCTTTTCAGGAAGCAGCCAGTTCAGGAGTGGTTCCCAGATGTTAGCAGGCGACTTATCACATAGCAGTGAACAGAACAGCTTGGCAGAGGAGGGATTTACATCCACGGCAGTGGGAGAGTCTGGAATTTCCATGAACAGTGAAAAGGGCTAAGTGCTTTCCAGGGGACGATGGGAAAGAAACAGCCAAGCGTGAAATGGTAGAGACAGGCTTGGAGAGCACCAGTGCTGTGGGGATGGACAAGGGTCCAGAGCAGTTCTGCAGGCAGGGGACAGCCGTGTGGCAGGTAACCAGTCTGCAGACGCTAAAGAGCAAAAATTTCATCAGGTGGACAGTCGTGTCTAAAACACCAAGGGACATAATCAAATGAGTTTTGGGGGTGACTGAAGAAGTCAGGAGAACCCCAGGAGTGAAGGACAATTCTTCAAAGCTTCCCATCACTATCACTGGCACATTCAGCATTTCACTGACACTGATTGTAAACGTCACAAAAGTAAACACGCCCTTCTACCTGGCCTAAGAGCTGCTTCTAGGAAGAGGAATGTGTCCTGGGGAATCCTTGTCTTGGACTCATAGAGACATCTGGCAAGTAGATAACACATTCCACTCACTGCCAGCATCAGTGATCATAAGAAAATATCTACACTATCAGATAAAATACATAATATGCTGTCCAAAATATATGCAAATAAAGTTAGAACCATTGAATGTACTGTTAATATACTATAAATACTATAAATATATGAGAGACTAGGCCAAATATCAGAGAGGAGAGTTGAGAAGATCCAGAGTAGGTTTCACCTGTAAAACCATAGGCTATCAACAACAGGCCAAGCCCCCAGAGCCGGGAGGTGAGGGACACCCCACGCAGATACCACATGATGAATGGAGAGTATCAAGCCCCCACCAGACAAGGCTCCACCGAGGACATGCAGCCAAAATTACACACTTGGGAGCTCTTTTCAAAGAAGTCAGAACTTACAAGGTGACTGCTGATGTTTTTCATCTTCTCCACAACGCTCTTCATAGTCTTCAAGACTGGTAAATAAATACTAACCTACAAAGCAAATGAGAAAGATCAGTAGTATTAAAATATTAACACAGTCAAGTATTGACAAGTGCTCATTACCTATGTTTAGAATGTGTGTACTCTTAAAAGCTCTGCAACCTTATTTTTAAATTGCCTGAATAAAGTTCTTTCTTAAAAATATAAAAAACAAAAATAATTCTACAGCTTCACTAACTCACGCCTGCCTCCGGTGACCTCAGCGTCCATGTGGCCATTCTCTCGTCCCAGGTCTGTAGCCCTGCTGCTGAGACACCCTGACACACACCCAAGGGGAGTAAGACAGCACCAGTGGAGGCCATCCTCCAAGGGGTTCACACCCACACTTGGTGCCAGTCTCTGTACCCATGCCCAGACTGGGTTACAAAAGTGCTGGTATAATGCTGGCTTTTTGCCAGCGGAGACATCTACTCAAAGCCAAGTAAATCATCCTTATGCTATTTCATGGTCTCTTCTTCAATAAATTATGAACAAGAGGCAAAGGACCCTTTGTCATCATCCTTCTTTCCAGTGGCTCTGGGATTCCTGTCAGGAGAACTAAAGCAGCCTCTCCTTCTGGCTATTACACACACCTTGGACATCACTCCTAACAAGACAAAGAAAAAAAACCACATTCTGTGAAACCCAAATTGGTGCCAGGGCCATTACTCCTGACAGATGTGAAGGTCATCGAAAATGCTACTTCAGTTTTACTTAAGCGCCATTATAGGGCAAGACTTTCTCTCTCCTAATTGTAAAGACTGTGGCCTTATATATAACACTACTTTAAGATGATTGATACAAACAACTAAATGAAAACATTCCTGGTGCACTGGGAAGACCCAGAGGGATCGGGTGGAGAGGGAGGTGGGAGGGGGGACCGGGATGGGGAATACATGTAAATCCATGGCTAATTCATTTCAATGTATGACAAAAACTACTGTAATGATGTAAAGTAATTAGCCTCCAACTAATAAAAATAAAAAAAATAAAAAAAATAAATGAAAACATTCCAATTTTTTGTTCCTGGGCTATCTTTTAAATATGATTATCTCTTTTCAGGTACTATACAACTTTCAAATAAAACCTACAGCAAGACTTTAAAGTCAGAGAATCCAAATCACACCATTTAAGATGTGGTGACGCCGGGCATCACTCACGTCAGCATCTGGGACCGTCGGCTCTTGTAAGTCCGTCCATAGTTTTCTAGGAATAACCTTCACAGGGATGTCATGTGTCACAACACGACTACTGCTTGACATGGATAACTGCCAAGAGAAGAATTAAAACACATCAATACTTAAAAAATAAAGAACTGAAAGACAAAAAATGTTGATACCAAACCTAAGTCTTCTCAATTCAGTCACCAACATCAATTCAACAAGTATTAACAGAGTTTAGAAAAAGGAAGTTAAAGAAGCAAGTGATTAGGGCGGTAGAGGAGTAGGACGTGGAGTTCACTCCTCCAACAAACACATCCAAAACATATCTAGACATGGAATGATTCTCACAGAACATCTACTGAAACATGGCAGAAGACCTCAGGTTTCAGAAAGGACAAGAACATCTTCATGTAACAAAAAAAAGACAAAAAGAACCAGAAAGGAATCAGGATGGGGCCTGCACCCCAGGGAGAGAGAGCTATGAAGGAAGAAAGGTTCCCACACTCTGAATGTCCCCTCACAGGAAGGCAGGGAGACCAGCAGGGACAGAGGGTGAGCTGTGGAGACTTGGAGGAGAGTACAGTTGAGCAGTTTACAGAAGGCAGAATGAAGAGAGCCCTGCAGACTGGTGATGCCACTTTCCCCACACTCCCAGCCTCAGACACATGTCCAACCACATGGGCAGAAACTGTGTGTGATGCTCAAGCTTCGGAGATCAGACCTAAAGAGAGGACTGGAGGAAGCTGCCAGAAACAGCCTTCAGAGGCTAGGAGTTTGAGATCAGCAAATGGAAACCATAACATATAGAATGGATAAACAACAAGGTCCTACTGCATAGCACAGGGAACTATATTCAATATTCTGAGACAAACCAGAATGGAAAAGAATATTAAAATAAGAATGCTTATATATGTATAACTCAATCACTTTGCTGTAAGGCATAAATTAACAACGCAACATTGTAAAACAATAAAAAGTACAGTTGAGAAAGCCTCCTCCATAAAAAGCGTAAAACTGAATATAATACTCACAGAAAAAATAAAGTACACAGAACGGATAAAGGAGAGGTTGCCAGGATAAGGGAAGGCTGGGAAGGAGGCAGCATTAGTGCTGGGCACTAGAGGAAGAAAAGGTTTCAACAAGTGAAAAGAACACAGACTCCAAGTAGAAGACCCATCCTCACCAAAGCCTGGGAGTTGGTAAAGAATGGGACACACGTGGAGAACCACTCAGGGCAGATAAGTGGCTCTACAGTGGGTTGAGCCACACTCGAAGGGCTTTGGACAGCAGATGAGAAATGTCAACCTTATTCTGTAAGCAGTGAGACCCTGTGGGGTACACGTGTTCTGAAGAGACCCAAGCATTAAATTCAGCTGGTAGTAGGATGGAAGATAAATGTATTCCTTGAAAACCAAAGGTCATTTAAAGGTGTTAGCAGCAGAATTGAGGGGATAAGGGAGGGACACACAAACACTTCGAAGGCAAAAATGGTTTTTAGACTAGATGACAATACCACTAAAAGAAATGGACATGCTGGGATATGCAGATCTGAGAAGAAAGATGCAGAAGTGTTATTTCATAGGAAGAGCAGCATCCTCACTGAATATTATGAGATCACAATGCTATTTAAATATGAGGAGCACCCAACTCCAATGAAAAAATAGTGATGTACCGATCTCTCATTTTAATAAAACCAATTAGCTTCTCCTGTAGAAAGTCAAGGCTTATATAAATCTAATTCCTTCCAGGAAGTTTCAGAAATGGTAGCTTCCTACTCACCAGCTCTATAGAAATTGTAAGGCACGGAAAGTGTTTATTAGTCAACTTAATTTTCAAAGCTCTGGCATTCTGGGCAGTTTTCAAGGCTCGAGATAAATTTTCCGATGTTAGCTCTAAGTAAATCTCATTGTTTTCTGCGGAGACACCTTCCATTTGAAATTCGCTAAAGAAGTTCTCCTAAAGGAAGGAAAAGGGGGAGGACATCTGTGCCCCTTCCAGTGGAATTCAGCGGGGGTTGGGGGAGAGGGGGCGGGCTGCAGGCCTCTCAGGAGCCTCCACTCACCTGTTCCAGCTCACACCACATGCTCACCCCTCCATTGGCCACTTTGTCAGAGAGGACGAAGTTCAACTTATCCGGGCTGATGCGCAGAGTGCAGGTTTTGGCAAGCTTGGCTATCATGTTACTAACTCCTATAGCGAAAGGTTCCAGTAAAGAATTAACTAAGAAGTATGTTAAGTATCCAAAACACCAATTTAGCGCGCAGAATTACCAGCTGCGCACAGTGAGCTTCCCAGTGGGAAAATCAACGTTTCCACTCCTACCTACCGGGAGGCTTTTAAAGCCGCTGGCGTCAAACCGGCCTCCCAACAACCTGGAATAAGGAAACCGAGACTCGGAGGTTAACTGGCGCCTACTGGCCGCTTTCTTCCCTCCCACGTCCACTCGCGGACGCCGAGGGCTGCAGGGGTCGAGGCAAGCACAGACATGGCTGGGGCGGGGGGACCAGGGAGCCTGGCTGTAAAGGACTGTGTACGCCAGGTAAAGTTGTCCGTGAAGCCACTGGGCGGGTTAAGAAAAGCCACGCAAAAGTAATCAAAGTTCAGAAACAACCCTCGGCACCTGCGCCCGCATCAAGCTCCTGCTCGCCAGCCTGTGCAGCGCGCCAGCCTCTTCGCGGGGCCCGGCTGCGCACCGCTCCCGTGCAGGCCTCCCGCCCTGCCCTCTACCGTCCTCCCAGCCGTCAGGACTGACGCGGCCCCTACTCACGCGTGAAGTGGTTTAGACAGGCGGTATCCACGATCTTGGCCCGAAACTTCATGGCTGGACGTGACACGCGCGGGGAGCCCGCCCGCAGCGGACTCGGGAGAGTCCCGCCTTAATCAGCCCGGGGGAAACGCCACCGTGGTACTGGATTCAGCTCCCTTGAGCCTGAGACGCGCGCGCGTAGAGTAGGCGGGCTTTTCGGTCGGGCACGCAGGATGACGCGAACTCTGCCGGAAGTGACGCATTCCTAAGCCGCAGGTACCGGAAGTGCCTCTGAGTTTTCATGGGTCGAGCTTTGTGTTAAGGAGTTTCCAACTCTGTTTTAGAACGTAGGAAATAAAATCAGTCTTGTTAGGTAGTTAGAATAGGAAAAAGGAGTCCAGAATGGTGGTGGCTAAAAGACAATGGTGGCTCAGAGGGTAAAGCATTTGCCTGCAATGTGGGAGACCTGGGTTCAATCCCTGGGTCGGGAAGATCCCCTGGAGAAGGAAATGGCAACCCACTCCAGTATTCTTGCCTGGAGAATCCCATGGACAGAGGAGCCTGGTAGGCTACAGTCCGCGGGGTCACAAAGAGTCGGACACGACTGAGCGACTTCACTTTCAAAAGACAAGGAAGGGAAAAGCCCGCGAAAATAGAACCAAGGAAGGTCTGAGGACTAAAGGTAGAACAAACAGCACTCCTGGCTAGCCCAATTTACATCGGGAACTTCCCAGAGGAACGAAAAAAACATATAAAAAGAGCCAAAAGGCTTGGGGTCTCTCCCAAGCACACGTGCTTGCTCTCTTCGCCTTTTGGGTTGGCATACCCTCACGCCTGGAGGATGTATTTTCCTTTTATTTTCTAAATAAAACTGAGCTGTAACACTGATCTGTCTGAGAGCTATAACATGGTCTATATCTGAGAGCTGTGGCACACTTTAACGTCTGTCGCTGCAAATTTTTGTTCTGACGAGACAGAACAGAGGAGATTACACTCCCCTGACAAGTCTTATTTTAAGTGTTGTTATCACTTAAATACACACCGCTCTGTGGTAGGGTAGCTTTAGAACCGCCCATGGCTCAGATGTTCGCACTGGTACCTCAGCACTGTAGCACCATGTTGGATTATGCTTTGAAAATTGTTTTAACAAACTGTGTTAAACACAGGATGTTTAAAGAACACTGTCAACTAAAAAAAGATGTACAACTTGAGAGTTGTGAGTTAAGTTTTATTTGGGGCAAAATGAGGACTGCAGCCCAGGAGGCAACATCTCACATGGCTCTGAAAGACTACTCCAAAGCAGCAGTGGGGGAAAGTCAATATATAAGGTTTTGGTGAAGAGGGAGTTCAATACCATGAAGCACTCATTTTACAAAAGGTTTCTTGTTAGTCATGAGGATCTGATATGAAGGGATTTAGTGCTTCTCTAGATATGAGGAGCCACAAGGATTGAGATCATAAAATCTGTTCCTAAAAACATCCAACTATCTAAAGACCTGTCCCACCAGATTCCCTGGAGCATAGTGTGCCTCCCTCTACCCTGAACTTCCTCAGGGGTTCTTGAAGGTCAACAGCTATAGCAGCATGGGGTTCAATTTCCAGAGGCAGATGGCAAACGCCTTTGTTGTTCAACCCTCTTGTTAAGTGCCAATTTGTAGCTGACAACATTGATAGTAATTCTGTAGTTTTGATTCAAAACGAACTTCACCAGAGCCTGTTAAAGTCTCCTAGTATAACTGATACAAATGATGTAGCAGAATTTTGAAAAACAAAATGAGAAACAGAATAATTGTCTCCAAACTGATTTTTCAGAGACAAGATAGTCCATGTTAAGAATGTTTTATTTTTTATGAGCTTTGCAAATAGAAACCTACAACCTTGTTTTTACCTTGACATACAGAATCAAGATATGAAAAATAATATTATTTTAAAAAGCACAAAATATAAAAACCACAAGCAGTTCTGCCTATTTTATAGACTATAACATGAAAGTAGGCTCCAATCTACATTGTTACAAGTATTTCCCAAACCAAATGTGATCAATGTCACATTAAAATTTTTTACTAAAAAAACATACTTTCTTTACTTCATAGGTTAATTTTAAAACAGATAAATCATTAAATGAGACTGTTGCTATGGATGTGCCATGTGCTTAGTAGCTCAGTAGTGTCCATCTCTGTGAAGCCATGGACCTGCCAGACAAGAATACTGGAGTGGGTTGCCATGCCCTTCTCCAGGGGATCTTCCCAACCCAGGGATCGAACCCAGGTCTGCCTGCATTGCAGGTGGATTCTCTACCTACTGAGCCACCAGGGAAGCCGTGGAAGTCATGAATTATGATTAAATACTAAGTAAACTTTCTAATAGGCTTCGCAGGTGGTGCTAGTAGTAAAGAATCCGCCAGCCGATGCAGGAGGTGTGAGAGGTACGGGTTGGATCTCTGGGTAGGGAAGATCTCCTGGAGGAGGAAATGGCAACCCACTCCAGTGTTCTTGCCTGGAGAATCACATAGAGAGAGGAGACTGGTGGGCTACAGCCCATAGGGTCACAAAGAATGGAACACGACTGAAGCAACTTAGCACGCAGACTCACAAACTCTGTAAACAATATTTTATAATATACTGATACTTCAACATACTTAATTTTTTTGCCATTAAAAAGATTTTTTAGGTGTAATAGCATCAATGGTGTTGGATGTTGCAGGGAAAATTGTCTAAGCATGGATGTATGAGTTTTGTTCAAGAGGAAAAAAATTAAAGCTCTTTGGCAATATTAACCCCAGAAACAAAGATTTTTATTTTAAACTTCCCAAGATACATGATTATACATTCTAAACAGGTAAGGGCCCAAATAATATAGGGAATTCTGACCCAACAAATATAAAATTAAGCTGCAATGATCTTTTCCTGAAAGATAATAGGAATTGTGTTTTCTTGCAGTTTCCTTAAATAGGTTTAAGGAATTAATAATTCAATAATTTCAATATTGATAATTATATATAGACACTACATCCCTACATTTCTTTGAAACAATTTGAAGGCAGGAATGAGGTCACTAGAGCTCTCTAGAAGCCTGTGTTCAACTGAGTATTCTTTTTTTTTTTTAATGTATACCATACTTATCTGTTTCAAATAGTTAGAATATAACCACATGCAACAATATTGCTGTACTTTCAGTTATTTTAATTTAAGGGTCCAAAATATACTCACAAAATATTAGTTTGTGAATGTCAACCAGTTTTTAATTTATATTCTATCGGAAACATGCCACTCTGGTCATACATGCTAAGTGTATTCTGAAAATAACTAAAGATGACAATTCACAAGCAGAGTCTCACCCCCATATAGAAATTCTAATTGCCCTGAAAACCTGTAGGTTAAGTTCTCAACCTTTGAAAATGAGCAAAAATGTTTCAGAGCAGTCACTGTAGCCATGTATTTGGGCTTTGTATTTACACATTGTTTTGTATATTTATACATATTTATAGCATTAGATTTGAGACCTAAAGGTGGCCACACATTAGTCAGCTAAGTCCCATATCAAAAATAAAATGAAAGAGGAATTGAAGAGATTTTGTGATTTGAATAGCACAGACTTCAGAAACTGAATGCTTAGACATAACTCCAACATGTTTCTTTAACTAAGAGGTCATCACTATGGCTTTATGGCTTTCAAGCAGTAGTCTATATATGGCTTTCAAGCAGTAGTCTATATATCAGTGTGTTATTAATCAAAGAGTGCAGTCCCTACGACGAACTTGGATCAGATACCACAAGCATTAACTTTGCCTTTCCCCCAAAGAATCATTTTCTTTTGAAGAATTAGGCAGTTAAGGCAGATTTTAACAAAAACTTACCATATACTCAGCTTAAAAATGGAAGCTCCACCTAGTTACAATAATATACATACCTAAGTAACGTGTCATTTACCAGTTAGGCAAACATCTCTATCTTGAGGATTAAGTCGCTTTTGAAAAGTGATTCTTTCTCATTCAAAAAGAAACACTGTGTAAAAAATATTAAAGAGTTATATTTATAAGAATAACCTCCAGGTACCATGTTGGCAAAGGTCCAACAGATTATACAGGTCTAGAAATTAGGAAAAAAAGACTTCCCTGGAGCTCTGGGTTCATGGCCAGTGGTTCTGAGTAGGAATCAGGAGGAAGGACGGTACAGTACCTTCATGATTTTTAGAAATTTCCTTCCAAGATGCATGGATCCTAGGGAGGAATCAAACCTTAAACCCCACTCAGCTACCATCTTAAACTTGTAGTTTCCAGCCTCAAAGGAATAGGATTTGGGGAAGAATGGAAAAGGAGAATGTACTGAGTATTCTAATGCAATGTACATTTGTTGCAGGAAGGGGGTCCCTTCCAGCAACAAAGAAAGTGAGATGCATAAAAGTTAAATAATTTGCCTAAAGTCAAGAGGAAGTTAAGTGGTAGATCTTCCCAAAAGGTAGTTGTCACTAGTCAACTCTCCAGAATCAAGACAACCTCCAATTTTTGGACTTCTGCCTCTAAGATCTTGAAAATGAAAGTGAATTGGCTCAGTCATGTCCGACTCTTTGCAACCCCATCAACTGTAGTCCGGCCAGGCTCCTCTGTCCATGGGGCTTTTCCAGGCAAGGATACTGGAGTGGGTTGCCATTTCCTTCACTCTAAATGCTCAGTGAAGCTATTCCTGAACTTGCAATGTCCTCGTACTGTCCTCTTGGCCCACTCAGATCTACCTAACTCACCCCTTCTCTGAATATTTGTATCCTCCCTGAACAGCATAGTTCAACCTCCAATTGTAAACTAGTTATAATTAGCACATATTGTTCCATGCATCAGTCATGTTTCCATGACATGCATGTTTCCATGCATCAGTCATATCTCACCATAGTATTTCTCCAAATCTATGACTAAAATTCAGCAAATTTAGATTAATGAAAAAAACCATATACTAGTTTTCAGAGGGGACTGTCAAAAAATGACATTATCTATAATTGGGAAGTTGGCAAATATAGTTGGGAAGTATATTTATACTTGTAAAGTATACTTGTAAAGTACATTTATACTTATTGAAAAGTGCAGAAAGAGAAGTAGGGAAACATGGGTTGAATATGTCCCTCAAACATTCATCTGCTTAGGTCCTAACTCCCCCAGCATACATTAGTATGTAATGTTACTTGGAGGTAAGGTTGTTACTCAAGTAATCAAGTTAAAAAGAGCTCATTAGTATTAGTCTTAATCCATACGGCTGTTTTTGTTAGGAAAAGGGAAAATCTGGAGGCAACCTCACACACAGAATGTGCCATGCAAAGATGACAGAAATTGGGGTGATGCTTCTACAGGCCAAGGAGTGCCAAAGGCTGCCAGCTAACCACTACAAACTAGGTGAGTGGCATGGAACCTATCCTCTCTCACAGCTTTCTGAAGGCATCAATCCTGTTGGCACCTTGATCTCCAACTTCTAGATTCTAGAACTGTGAGACTATAAATTTCTGTTTTTTAAGTCCCCAGTTTGTGATGCTTTGTTATGGTAACTTTAGCAAAATAATACAAGAAATAAGGGAAGAAGGTTTTGGATAAATCACACAGTGAGATGTCATATTTAAAAACTGTTAGGGGAGGACTTTTCTGGTGGCTCAGTGGTACAGAATCCACAATGCAGAAAACATGGGTTCAATTCCTACTCGGGGAAGAGTTCACATGCCATGGAGCAAATAAGCCTGTGTGCCACACAACAGAAGCCACTGCAATGCGAAGCCCACGCACTGCAACTAGAGAGTAGCCCCACTCGCCACAACTAGAGAAAAACCCACACAACAATGAAGACCCAGCATGGCCAAAAATAAATAAAAATTTATATTAAAAAAACTGTTAGGGGAGTGAACAGGGCCTTTATTAAGGCCCAATAAAGCCTTGCTTCCCTGGTGGCTCAGATGATAAAGAATCTGCCTGCAATGAAGGAGACCCAGCTTTGATCCCAGGATTGGGACGATTCCCTGGAGAGGGGATTGGCTTCCCACTCCAGTATGCTTGCCTGGAAAAGTCCATGGACAGAGGAAGCTGGCAAGCTACATACAGTCCAGAGGAGGCTGGCAAGCTACATATAGTCCATGGGGTCACAAAGAGTCAGACATGACTGAGTGATTAACACTTGGAAAAAACAAACCTGTTAGGAAAAGTGTAGTCTACTATCACATAGGATGACAACACTTGTTCCTGATCTTCCTTAATAAAGTTACTAGTGAAGAGGGGAGGGAGTCAGGAGGGTAGGGGATTTGTACAACACAATGGGCTTAAAATACAATAATTAGTTGAAGGCTTTTTCCCGGAATTGCTTTCAGGTGTTTTAAATCTGTCTTTCACCACGCATATTTTTTTTTCCATTTTCTTTTATTAGTTGGAGGCTAATTACTTTACCATATTGTAGTGGTTTTTGCCATACATTGACATGAATCAGCCATGGATTTACATGTGTTCCCCATCCCGATCCCCCCTCCCACCTCCCGCCCCATCTCACCCCTCTGGGTCTTCCCAGTGCACCAGCCCTGAGCACTTGTCTCAAGCATCCAGCCTAGGCTGGTGATCTGTCTCACCCTTGATAGTATACTTGTTTCAATGCTGTTCTCTCAGAACATCCCACCCTCGCCTTCTCCCACAGAGTCCCAAAGTCTGTTCTGTACATCTGTGTCTCTTTTTCTGTTTTGCATGCAGGGTTATTGTTACCATCTTTTTAAATTCCATATATATTCGTTAGTATATTGTATTGGTCTTTATCTTTCTGGCTTACTTCACTCTGCACCATGCATATTTTTGACTCAGTTTTTAAAGAGAAACCTGTATGTTAAACATTTGATGAATGTGTTACAAATTTGGCATTATGACATTAATGGGTCCCATCACTTCATGGCAAATAGATGGGGAAAAAGTAGAAATGGTGACAGATTTTATTTTCTTGGGCTCCAAATTCACTGCAGACAGTGACTGCAGCCACGAGATTAAAAGACAGTTGCTCCTTGGAAGAAAAGCCATGACAAACCTAGACAGCGTATGAAAAAGCAGAGACATTACTTTGCTGACAAAGGTCCGTACAGTCAAAGCTACGGATTTTCCAGTAGTCATGTGTGAATGTGAGAGTTGGATCACAAAGAAGACTGAGCACAAAAGAACTGATGCTTTCTAACTGTGGTGCTAGAGAAGACTCTTGAGAGTCCCTTGGACAGTAAGGAGATCAGTCAATCCTAAAGGAAATCAATCCTGAATATTCATTGGAAGGACTGATGCTGAAGTTCCAATACTTTGGCCACCTGATGTGAAGAGCCAACTCACTGGAAAAGACCCTGATGCTGGGAAAGACTGAAGGCAAGAGGAGAAGGGACCAACAGAGAATGAGATGGCTGGATGGCATCACTGACTCAATGGACATGAGTCTGAGCAAATTCCCGGAGGTAAGGAAGGTAAGGAGGTTAGGTTAGGTAGGGAAGGTAAGGAAGTAAGGACAGGAAAGTCTGGCTGCAGTCCATGGGGTCACAGTCAGACACAACTGAGTGAATGAACAACAACAAAGCATGTGAGTTTTCTGGGTCATGTTTTTATAGGAAAGGCGATGTGTGTAGTGTTCTTACAATTTCTTTTGACCCTGACAGTAGTACCAGTTCACAGAAAGATTTATTTTTAAAACTGAGGCTCCATTATTACACAGTACTCTTATTTCCCCCCATTAGAACTTGGTAGACCAGGGACTTTTATGTATTCAGGGGGGTTTATTTATTTTGTCATATAATTGTGTTTCAAATCCATCCACAGCCCTAACCTTTTACTCAATGTCTGCTCCTGACAAAATATTTTCAATCTCCCCAATTTGTAACAAACCATATACAAATAAAACTGAAAGTATGTTTTAGCTTTACAATAGTATCCTTTTTCTTAAGAAAATTATACCATAGCCTTCCTAAAGCCTTTTATATAGAAATAATACCAATAACAATATTTGATAACAAATAAGAAAATGAAGGCACTGGTCAGAAGATACAATTTCACAAAAATATACTGAAATATGTGTCATGAACAAAGGAAGCTCTTGTCCTTTGCTTTCAACTTTCAATGTACTCAGTTTACAAAATAAATAGGAAAAAACTGCCATGCCATATATTGCTCCAGAATTATTTATAAATTGCATACCCTGTTCTTCAAATTCCAAGTATTTCAAAGGAAAGGACATGTTTCAGATAATAGCTATACCTCACATAGCTTGGTATCTGGGTACCCCAAAGGATTTGATTTCTATTATGAACACATTAATAATACACATAAAGGACATTATTTCCTCTGAAGTCTTCAAAGTACCCAACAATTATTAACTAAGCTACTATCATATAACAAGAAACAAAACTTTTAAAATTTGAAGTGCCTAAAATTAGTGGTTAGTTATGGTCTGAAAAGGTAGTTGAAATTGCCACTGACTTTTCATCCAACTGAGGCACTGAGCCCAACTTCTACTCTACAAGAAAATACTCCAACTTTCCAACTACCTATTTTTCTCTTTTTTCTCCTTTTCTCATTCCTATCACTTATTTGATTTGGGTTTTCCTTCAGCTGGCTTGTGACACCCATTCAAAACTAAAGAGATTCCTCTGTTATGTTCCCTCTTTTGCCACTTCCAGTCACAAAACAGAAAACAAATCAAATGTTTCTGAAATAGCTCTTCAAGAAAAAAAATGGATATTTTTCATTATTCAACTCTGCAGTAAAGACTGTACCATGTTGTCTGCAAACATTTATCAACAATGTTTGTATCTTAATTCCCAAGGTATAAACTTTTGCAAGGCAAGCTATGTTTAATTATAAAATACTTTAGACTCATGAAAAGTTACAAAGCCAAAACAAAACACTCATGTACCTACTATCCAACTTAACAATTTGGTCTTCAAAAAAAATGCTGCCATATTTTTAAAATGTAAGGGTCTTTTGTATAACTTTTACTGTTTATATTACTGAATTATTTTCATTGTTTTTGAAGCTATAGCTTGTAAGTATACTTATATGCTGTTGCTTTGAAACATTATTTTTAATGTACCTTAATGGTATATTGTTGTTGCTTAGTCACTCAGTCGCATTCAACTCTCTTATGACCCTATGGCCTGTATCCCACCAGGCTCCTCTGCCCACAGGATTTTCTGGGATTAGTGGAGTGGGTTGCCATTTTCTCCTCAGAGGATCTTCCTGACCCAGGGATCCAACCCGCATCTCCTGCACTGCAAGAGGATTCTTTACCACCGAGCTCTCATGGAAGCCCCAAAGCTACATTACAAATTGTATTACAAATTTCTAGATGGAACTTACCTTTATTAACTGAAATCTTATCATAACTTTGTAAACCTCAAGAAACTGGGAAATACTCCATGTGTCTGTGTATATTTTTAGCAAGAAAAACAAATCTGTAGCTTTTATTAATTTTCTCCAAAGAATCTCTGACTTCTGTCCTCACAAAACAAATGAACACTGAGCTAAAAGAAAACATAACTTTATAAGAAAACTGGATAAAACCTGAAATAAAACACCCCTGACCTAATTTTTCCCATTATGAAAGCAGATTTTTTCCCCCCTGAATAATAAATGTTTATTACTTAAAAGAAAACAGTAATTTAACATAAAGGTCATTTTGCTATAAGAATATTATGGATATATATTATAAAAAGAACATAGTAACTTTCTGAATTTTTTTCTTCCCATAGGTAAAAATCTTTCCAACCTCACAGTACAGTATACTTAATACTTGACAGTGTCTGGTGATATAAATGTGTGATTCATGATGGTAAATCTATCTGGTGTAGCAAGCGCTGCATGAACTACTGGGACTTGGTAAAAATTTGTTATACATAGTGTATTGCTACCCTGGCTGTTCAGTACTATAGCAATTAAGGATCCAAAAAGAATTTACTTTGAAAGATGAAAATGAAAAGTCTTGCTTAAGGACAAAATAAATGGCAGTTAAAATATTTACTTCAAAATAAATGTTTAAACTTATTTTTTATAAAATGAAAAAGGAATTCAGATTTTCTTCTTTAATTTAGAGGAAAAATCAACCATCAAAAAAAGGCATAGAGGGTATACTTTTGGTAGGAAAATAAAAATAATGGAACATTTTAGTGAGTTACATAAAATGTTTCAGCTAGTCGTAGAGTAGTAACCTAGGTAATAAAGACATAATAAGCTACAATTCCTCTTAGTCCTCAACACACATCTGCTACCCTTTGTTACAGCAAAAAGCAAGACTATGGTGTCAGAAATTCACCGGATGAAACTGTCCTCACACACTGCTACTTGTTTATACTTAGGAAATAACAGAAGTAGAAAAAGTAGAAATAATAGAAAGAGAGAAAAGTGAGACTCAAGTCATAAATGTAAAACATACCCAGTATGAAATCTGGACACTACGATCAGTAGAGATGTTCAAATTCCAAATGCTTTCCTCACTCTTTTACTTTTCTGTAAAATGCTCTAATCTCCAGTGGCTTCTGCTGTTGAATGTGAGATCCTTGAGGGCAGCTGGTCCTGTCTATTCTCCTCAACAATGTACATGCAGTACCCTGCACAGTGCCTGACACAAAGGAGAAACTCAATAAATACCATGCATGAAAACAAATACAAGAAAAGCCAGTGATCTGGGGACTGGGATGGGAGGTAGGAATGGAGAATAGAAAACAGAAAACAGAACAAATAAAAGTGAAATAACACTTGTAAGAAGTCATTCACACTGTCATATCAGAAGAAATTTAAGTAGAATGATATGGACATTTTTATTTAATACTTGTTAAGGGTTCCAATTTTCTCATTTGAAAAGACCCTGATGCTGGAAATGATTGAAGGAGGGAGAAGGGGATGACAGAGGATGAGATGGTTGGATGGCATCACCAACTCAATGGACATGAGTTTAAGCTCTAGGAGTTGGTGATGGACAGGGAGGCCTGTCATGCTGCAGTCCATGGGGTCGCAAAGAGTCGGACATAACCAAGCAACTGAACTGAACTGAAGGTTTCCCTGGTGGCTCAGACGGTAAAGAATCTGCCTGCAATGCAGGAGACCCAGGTTCAATCTGTGGGTCAGGAAGATCTCCGAGAGGAGGGCATGGCAACCCACTCCAGTATTTTTGCCTGGAAAACCCCATGGACAGAAGAGTCTGGTGGGCTATAGTCCATTGAGTCACGAAGAGTTGGACAAAACTGCGCAACTAACACTTTTACTTTTCAAGGCTTCACTTAGCCTTAAATTCCAAAACAATTTCTAACAGTATAATAGTAGCACTGAAGAATACTTTTCAGAAGCTCTTTAACTTGCTATTATTTTGTAAAGACAAACAAAAAACTTTGGAAAAATTTATATAATGAACTCATTTAGGCAAAAAGATACATGCATTAAAAATATCCTGTAGGAACATGTGGTTTTCTCTAAGAACTGGAAAGCCTGATGCAAAAAGATTGGAACTTTTCTTTTTTACTATATATGCTTTTGCACTGTTTAAATTTTACTTTTTTATAATATGTACATTTTACAATAAAATACAAGAAAATGTCTAATTTTAAGTATTTTTGAAAGTCAAGAAAAATTTAGAAATTACAATCTCCTAAGAATATATTGATGATTGATAATACTGCTTAATACTGTACTTCCTATTTATTCTCCTTACTAAAATATGGAAGTAGACAGTGAAACAGACAGAAAATGAGATACACATTAGTGTGTTCCAAAGGAGGAAAATAAGTAAGTAAGAAAGTAAGAAAGAAAAAATTCCAAAAGCTAAAACTGCAAAGATCTATCTGCTGATTATCAGTGATCTTTATTATCAGTGAATATGTTCAAATTCAGGAGTTTGAGGTTTTTCAAAAAAAAAAAAAGAGAACTATTACAAATTTAGGAGAACCAGGTAATGACAAACTCAAAAGCAAACAAATAAAACCTAGTTGCTCATAAGGAATCCTTTTTTATAACCTTAAAAATTATCTCACTAGAGACATACATATAGAATACTATAGGATGTTATTACAGGTGGATGACCATAATATTATAAACTGTCATTTTTAACTCAGTTATTTTTTTATCTGTTGATAAACTTAACTACAAAACATCTTTAAAAATATGGTTCTTGAATGATGGTATATACAGCAGGTTAGTAACAACCAACATTCTAAAAGATGTTTGTCAAAGAGCTTTCAAATGAACACAATTTCAGTATCACTTTTAATACATTTAAGTTATATCCATTCTAGGACTCGAAACAGCATTCTTTGATGGTGGCTCACTATAAGATATTGTATTGGAAATATGTAGATTAAGCAACTGCTTCTTATGATATGCATCATTTTCCTGGTTGGCATGTTCATCCAGAGATTTCCTTATACAGTTCTTTAGTTCATCAATTCCTTCTCCAGTAATTGCAGAGATGGGGATGATTTGTTGGAATTCCACAGTCCTCTCTGGAATCATGCTTTTTTCAAATAAATGCAAAAATTCTGCAACAACACAGATATAAGCTGATTTTCATTGTCTTTGAAAATAAGTCAACTATGCTAGAGGTTTCATTTGTGAACCAAAAACTTAGCAGTTTTTCTTTTTTCCTTCTCTAATAAGCTCTTAGCACCTTTGGCTTTTACTAATGACAATGGTAAGGTTCTTGGCACGTGAGTGGTGCTCAGTAAATATTTGTTACATGAATATATTTTAAACTGAATGAAGTATAAGTTCCCAAGTAATGGTAAACAGTGGTAAACAGTGGTAAAAAATTTGCCTGCCAATGCAGGAGAGGCAGGAGACGTGAATTCAATCCCTGAGTTAGGAAGACTCCCTGAAGTAGGAAATGGCAACCTACTCTAGTATTCTTGCCTGGAAAAATTCTATGGACAGAGGAGTCTGGCGGATTATGGTCCATGGGATTACAAAGAACTGGACACGACTGAGCACACAACCCTCCAATCAAAAGATAAATCACAAAAGATGATTTACTTACAGAAGCAATAAATTTTGTTTTGGGGCAGTTCAATAACATAAGGCAACACAGACTCTCTGAAAGCTTTTCTATAAAAATAAAATCACTTGTGACTTGGGATATTCTAGTTTGCTTCAGCACACAGGTGGCCTTTAACTGTCCAAATTTAGAGACGTATCATCACTGGTACTAGGAGCCATACTAAAATTGAGAACAATTCAAGGAGAGATCATTTTAGATGACTCCAATGTTTCACCCCACTGGGGCTGACAACCGAGCCCCAGTTAGGTAACTTTTGCTTCTTCTCTGCTACCAAGGCAACAGAAGGGAGGATGGCATACTGATGGGATGGATCAACACTGATATCACCTGGAAAGGCTGGCTAAAAGAGATTAACCAAATCAATACAAAGCTTGGTTTCTGGGATTCATTTAGCCCCAGGGAAAAGAGAGGCTAATTTGGAAATTATCACTGAGGTGACTATGTAGTTTTTATTATAGGCCAAAATAGCCACAAACTCCTGAGTTACCCCCATCTCTGGTACCTCTTCTAAAAATTCCCTTTTCTGCAAGATCAACCAGCACACAGATCTAATGACCTCATAAAACAAATGACATAAAGGAATAAACACTTTATTATTTATAAATATTTTGAGGAATATTTATACCCCCAAAGTAACTTATTAACTCAAGGGCAGGCCCAATATATACATAAGGATTTTTAGGAGAAGAGAGAGGATCTTCTGGTGCTGTCTGATAGTCCTGGTACATTTTAATTTATTTTCCTCAATTTTTATCTCAAGGATAAAAACAGGTTAAGTCTATTTAAAAAACATGTTAACCACTTACCTTCCATCCTACTTTTCTCATTTGTGCAAAAGGTCCTCTACTAGACTCAGAAAAATGAAAGCATCATCTCTATATGGTAGAGTGTGTTCTGCAAAGGTCAATATTCAAAACTATGGAGAATCCCTTTAAATTCCTTTATACAAAGTGGTCCATTTAGGGACCAATTTCACACAAATCCTTTAGAAGTAACAGCATCTATTATTCTGTGCCACACATACAAACAACTCAAGTTCCTTTTAGAAGATTAATACTCTCCAGAGATCTATAGACCTGGCACTGCAAAGATACGTATCTCTTTAGAACTACTAGCCCTGTTTTTAAATTCATGATGTACTAGGGGAATTAAATTTTAGAACTTGTGAAATAAGTTAAAAGATTTCATAGGTATATGCTGACCTTTTCCTCTTCTGAACCAAATCCGATTAACTCTTTAAGAGCCCAGTTTAAGTTTTACTTCTTGATGATGCCTGAACTTTTCAGCTCAAATTAATCTTTCTTCCCTTCTATGTCTTATAACACATTGTGTATATGACATTTAAGTTTCATATGGTATGTGTTCTTTCTTCAAACACACTTTTTTTTTTTTAAGAGGAACAGGTTTCATTTTTTTTCCCCACTGATTATAGTACACCGAAGTCTCTGCAAATAGTAGGTATTCATTAGTTCAGTTCAGTTCAGTTGCTCAGTCATTGTCTGACTCTTTGCGATCCTGTGAATCGCAGCACGCCAGGCCTCCCTGTCCATCATCAACTCCCAGACTTTTCCCAAACTCATAATCCATTGAATCGGTGATGCCATCCAAACATCTCATTCTCTGTCGTCCCCTTCTCCTCCTGCCCTCAATCTTTCCCAGCATCAAGGTCTTTTCAAATGAGTCAGCTCTTCACATCAGGTGGACAAAGTATTGGAGTTTCAGCTTCAGCATCAGTCCTTCCAGTGAACACCCAGGACTGATCTCCTTTAGGATGGACTGGTTGGATGTCCTTGCAGTCCAAGGGAATCTCAAGAGTCTTCTCCAACACCACAGTTCAAAAGCATCAATTCTTCGGTGCTCAGCTTTCTTTATAGTCCAAATCTCACATTCATACATGACCACTGGAAAAACCATAGCCTTGACTAGACGGACCTTTGTTGGCAAAGTAATGTCTCTGTTTTTTAATATGCTGTCTAGGTGGGTCATAACTTTCCTTCCAAGGAGTAAGCGTCTTTTAATTTCATGACTGCAATCAGCACCTGCAGTGATTTTGGAGCCCCCAAAAATAAAGTCAGCCACTGTTTCCCCATCTATTTCCCATGAAGTGATGGGACAGGACGCCATGATCTTAATTTTCTGAATGTTGAGCTTTAAGCCAACTTTTTCACTCCCTTCTTTCACTTTCATCAAGAGGCTCTTTAGTTCTTCTTCACTTTCTGCCATAAGGGTGGTGTCATCTGCATATCTGAGGTTATTGATATTTCTCCCGGCAATCTTGATTCCAGCTTGTGCTTCTTCCAGCCCAGCGTTTCTCATGATGTACTCTGCATATAAGTTAAATAAGCAGGGTGACAATATACAGCCTTGACGTACTCCTTTTCCTATTTGGAACCAGTCTGTTGTTCCATGTCCAGTTCTAACTGTTGCTTCCTGACCTGCATATAGATTTCTCAAGAGGCAGGTCAGGTGGTCTGGTATTCCCATCTCTTTCAGAATTTTCCAGAGTTTATTGTGATCCACATAGTCAAAGGCTTTGGCATAGTCAATAAAGCAGAAACAGATATTCATTAAACTGGCACTAAATGAATGAACAGGTTTACCTTTAGGATTCTGGAGTTGGTTCATCAGTACATGGAATTTATCCTGTGCATCTGGCAAGTCCATTTTATTTACTGCTAGGAGTGCAGGTTTTGTCTGAAGTTCCTCTTTGTACAACTCTAACTCCTTTAAATCAAAAGAGAGAAACCAAATAACTGTATTAAAATATCTATATAAATGACCTATTTGGTAATGTCTTTTTTTTTTCATTTATTTTTATTAGTTGGAGGCTACTTACTTTACAGTATTGTAGTGGTTTTTGCCATACATTGACATGAATCAGCCATGGATTTACATGTGTTCCCCATCCCGATCCCCGCTCCCTGGTAATGTCTTTCTATACTTTATAGGCCTGGGTATTCTAGGGCCCATTCACACCTCTGAAATCAGTAAGTGATTTTGTGCCTAGAGACAAATACAGATATTGGATTTCTATTAAGCACATAGATAAAATCCAGAACTAAATAATGACAATTAATCCTATGCCTGCATTATTCTTGGAAAAAGTAAGTATGCTTAGAAGTAAATCTTTGTGACCATGGATTAGGTAGTGGCTTCTTATATCTGACACTAAAAGTAGGAATAAAAGAAAGAATAGACAAAGGGGACTCCATCAGTTTTAAATTCCATGCTTCAAAAGGCAACTGAAAGAAAGTTAAAAGACAACTGAAAGAATAGGAGAAAATATTTGCAAATCATGTAACCAATAAAGGACTTGTATCTAAATTATAAAAAACTCTTACAACTCAACAATTAAAAGATAGCTCAATTTAAAAATGGGCAAGCAATCTGAATAGACACTTCTCCAAACACATACAAATGGCTAATAAGCACATAAAAAGATGCTCAACACCATTAGCCACAAGAGAAATGCAAATCATAACCACAATGAAATACTACTTCATTCCTACTAGGAAAGTCAAAGTAAAAAAGGTAATAATGAATGTTGACATTAATGTGGAAAAGTTGGAACCTTCATACATTGAAGTAATTCAGTGCTGCAGTCACTTTGGAGAATAGTTTGGCAGTTCCTCAAAATGTTAGATTTACCTTATTATCCAGTAATTTCGCCCCTAGATATACATATATACCCAAGAGAAAGGAAAACATACCCACACAAAAACCTGTACACAAATGTTCACAGCATTATCAACAATAGGCGAAAACATAGCTAGGAAATAGTATATAAAAGTCATTAAGGTAAAGATATCATGTTACATTAGAGAGAAATCATAGGCTGGATAGACAATGTACAGGGTGTTGCTTGGGGGAAGCGGGAGAGGGCGCAGGAACAATAGAGACACATGCCTGGGAGGAACCCAACTCTGCCTCATCTACCATGTTCAGGTTAGACTTCAACCTAACCCACTGCTATGGGGGGCCATCAGAGCAGGGAACAAACATCTGCTTGGCTCTTTAACAAAGATCACTCTAGCTGCCTACAAAACATGGCCTGAAAAGAAGTGAGACTGAGCAGGGAGACCAGATAGTAAGAGGGGCTGATGATTACAACAGTGCGGGTGAAGACAAATAGCTGCATTTCAGAGAAATTTAGGGCATAAAACTGACAGGGTCTGATACAGGTGGTGAGAAAGTCAGAATCATTACTACCCAGGTTTCTGGCTGACATATTCAATAATGTTCTGAGGGAGGCTGGAAAATTTTTTTAAAAAGTTTAGTTCTGTGTGCGTGCTCAGCCACTTGTCACGTCCGAATCTTTGAGACTCCACAGTTAGTTAGCCACCAGGCTCCTCTGCCCATAGGATTCTCCAGACAAGAATACTGGAGTGTGTAACCATGGCCTCCTCCAGGGGATCTTCCCGACCCAGGGATTGAACCTGGGTCTCCTGCCTTGCAGGCGAATTCTTTACCACTGAGCAACCAGGGAAGCCCAAGTTCAGTTCTACACATATTAAATTTGAGAAGTTAATGGGACATCCAATCAAAGATATGTAATAGGCAGCTAATCTAAAGTACAACCAAACTATCTGGGTATCAGAGTGCCTAAAAAGTAGACTGGGAAATAGTCTAAGAAATAGGAATTAAGTTAAGCAAGAGTCAGTCTAAGAATTTATATAATAGGGATTTGGAATCAAGGAAGGTTTTATTGATTACAACAGTTTGAGAAATGGATGAATATCAAGGAACTGGAGACAGCAAGTTTAGATTATTCTTTAACTGCCACCAAACTTTGAAAAAGTAGAGCTAGAAGATGTATTTATTCTAATTATCATATGTTATTTCATACAGTCCTATGTCCCTACATACTAGACCAGATAGAAAAACCTACTTTTGAAAGCAGTATTATGGTTTCAAAAGCAGTTCTGTAATGAGTTTGGGAAGAAAGCTGAAATCCAGAAATATCAACCTGAAAAAAGAAAAGGGAAAAAGATTGCCTTTAATGAAAAGAACGACAGCTATACAATTCTGTTTTGAATAGTTTCATTCTTTCAAGCTATAAATAATTTCTCAATCTATATTCTTTTGGTAATTTAGTAATTTGAAATGAGAGAAATTGATATTTTAAGATCAATGTAATTATTCTTATAATATCACATTCATTAATGAGAAACTAGTACAGATAAAACAACTTATACTAATAATCTCATGAAATAGGAAAGTAATGCTGTGTAATTTAGTAGTACATAGAAAATCCTAAGGAATTAAACCTGACAAATATGGCCAAACTTTCATCTGATACAGTAAATGTTGCCATTTCCATTTCCATCCCCATATTATAAATAAATTTGACTCCTATCTAAACAGATTAAGTGGATTAATATATGCTACTATTCTTTCTTTAAATTTTATTATAAAAATGTCTAGGAAAACTAAATTCATTGAGTCTCACATTCTTGTAAGCATTATATTGATAGGCATATGACTTACAACAAAAAGCAGTTGTTTAGTTCTTTCTATATGCTTGAGGAATTTGTGGCCCATTCCTTTGTTCATATGTGCTCCTTCTATTAAACCAGGAAGATCAGCTACAGATATCTAATACAAAATTAAATGGTTTAATATTAAAAAATGAAAACTAATTACATCCAACAATTTTCATATTTCAATTATAAAGTTTCTAATTTGTGATTACCACTGAATTACTGTATCTCTAATAAAGCCAAGATACTTTGATAACAAAATAAGTGTATTAAGAATCAAAATCCTTTGCTATCAGAAATTAGAGTCCCATTTTTACTTTAACAATCTAAGAATTCTAAGGCTTAGCTTAACATTTATTAATATAAATTCTCTTTAGAATTCCATAAATTATACTGTTCAATATGAACTTTTCAAAGAATTTCAAACTTTTAAATTCTTAAAAGTAAATAAGGATATTAATTCAGCAGCCATTGACTTAGGATGTAAGCACTGTAAAGTGTTTTATTCTGTATGTAAATGGCTGTTTGGTACCACTGGTCCTTTACTGTTCATATTCTACCAGGATTTAACTATTCTTAAAAAGTAAAGGAAACAGTGTCCCTATACTCTATTTAGGACTATTAACCATTATTAGAGTCATTAACCATTATTCAACACTTGTGGTTTTCAAACTTCACCGCACATCATAATCATCTAAGGAACTGCTATAAACTACAGATCCTCAAGCCCTATCCCCAGGAATTTGGTTTCAAATCACTGGGGCCCAAGCTGGATTTATCATTGTTGTTCTTAGGCTAGTCAGATGATTCTGATGTACAGTAAGGGATGAAAAACACTGCTCTACACACACTGCTTGTGTGGTTAAAATTTTCAGTTTTAAAGAAAGTTGTAGCTATGTGATAAAGCAAAGTACATATAGAGGTCTCATGTTCTGAAATTTTCTTCAGAGGTTTTTTCATTGATTTCCCTTAAATTACCAATAATGTTTTCTAAATTCCTATTATCCTGCACTTATAATTTTACTTATTATTTAATCTTCTATGTAATTGTTAAAGCTTAAAAAATTTTTTTACTGTTATACTATTATTATTAATGAATATACATCTTTGATATCTTTTGAATTATGTCACTGGATTATATGAAACTACACTGATACACCATCATTTCAAGTCCATATTTTACATTAGGGTTCATCATCTAGGTTTTACACATTCTATGGTTTTGACAAATTTATGACATGTATCTACCATTACAATATCATACAGAATAGTTTCACTGCACTTAAAAACCCTCTGTATGCTGCCTATTCAACCTTTCTACCTATTCAACCTTTCTTTCCTCCTAACCCTTGGTAACCACTGATCTTCTCTATTTCCACAGTTTTGCCTTTTTCCCAGAACATCATATAGTTGAAATCATACAGGATTTAGCTTTTACAGACTGGCTTCTTTCACTTAGTAATAAGCACTGGAAGTTCCTCTGTGTCCTTTCATGGCTTGATTATTTATTTTTTAGTGCTGAATGACATTCAATTTTCAATATGTACACAGCTTATTTATCCATTCATCTACTGAAGGACATCTTGGTTGCCTCCAAGTTTTGGCAATTATGAACAAAGCAACTGTAAACATCTGTGTGTGGGCTTCTGAGTGGGCCTACGTTTTCAATTGTCTGGGTAAACACTAAGGAATGCAACTGCTGATCATACATTACATATTTTTAAATTTTTATTATTTTTCATTTTTTGTTTTTATTCTAATTACTCAAAAAAAACTAGAGTTCTTCCTTAACAAGGAAAAATAAATTTTAATAGCTAGCTAAGACCCAAATCCCATTCAATTAAAAAAAATTTTTTTAAACAGTAAAATGGGATAAAATTACATCCAGGAACTTTAGAATATGTTTTTAGGAAATGAAAATCAATAATCAAGTATGACAATAAAATATGGAATTGCAATGAGAACAAACAGATCAAGGAGACTAAGATACAATCAATGTTATAATTACAAACTGTATCCAAACTTTGGAAGAATTATTCTTATACAATATTTTACTGATAGTGCTCAGCAGAATTGATTTGATCATGACTTCAATTACCAAAACCAAAATCCTGCTACTTTTTCCAATACCACAGAAACTGTCGAATATTATAAGTCTAAGCAATAAGGCAAGTACTTTCATTTCTAATCGAGAGTCTTATTTTAAAAATAGCCACCTACGGGACTTCTCTGGTGGTCCAGTGATTAAGACTCTGCACTCCCAATGCAGGGGGCCCAGGTTCAATCCTTGGTTGGGGAAAAAAATTCCCATATTCTGCAACTAAGGATGCCAGAGCAGCCAAATATATAAATAAATATTTTTAAAAGAATAAAAGTTAAAAAAAAATACCCACCTGTTTGAAATCACTATACATAATTTTTCCAAGTTCAGGCTTTATTGTTGTAACTAAAAAAAAAAAAGTAAATTAAAGCTACAATAAAGCATTGTACTCTCAAAACTATCCTAGTGTTAGGTATAAAATAAATAATATTTCCCTTCTGTGAACAACCTAATTCAGATTATGTTCTCATTCACTGAAATTAAAGGTATAATTACTTTGGAAATGGACAAATATAGATTTTTATAATCTGCAAAAGGATAGGCCTAATCTAATTAGTGGGCCTCAAAGTCCCTCTCAAACCTTAAGAGCATGGCAAAGGGTTGAGGGCAGGGGACAGAATTTAGGTTTCTGTCATTTGGGTTACATCTGAAATCTATTGGTCCTTTCTCATTCTGTTATCCTCAAACTTCACCAATCCAACAGCAGCCTCCTTCTACGACTTTTTCCTTTTCTTCTTTCCTTCTCAAAGATCCCCTATTTTATAACAATAAATACTGGCCAAGAGATTTATAGCAGTTAGTACAAAATTAGCTCTACTTTATCAGAGTCTAATCCTAGAATTGTTTGATTTTATTTTCCATGATTTTATTTTCAATAGTTTCCCTGATAGCTCAGCTGGTAAAGAATCTGCCTTCAATGCAGGAGACCCCGGTTTGATTCCTGTGTTGGGAAGATCCATTGGAGAAGGGATAGGCTACCCACTCCAGTATTCTTGGGCTTCCCTTGTGGCTCAGCTGTAAAGAATCTTCCTGCAAAGCGGGAGCCCTGGGTTAGGAAGATCCCCTGGAGAAGGGAAAGGATACCCACTCCAGTATTCTGGCCTGGAAAATTCCATGGACTGTATACTCCATCAGGTTGCAAAGAGTCGGACACGATTGAGCGACTTTCACTTTCCATGTTAATGTCATTCTGTGCCATTTTGTTTAAAGAAGGTAGAGATCCTCTTATATTCATTCACTTGCTTGCTAAGTCACTTTAGTCGTGTCCAACTCTTTGCGATGCTATGGACTATAGTCCACCAGGCTCCTGTCTGTGGGACTCTCCAGGCAAGAATACTGGAGTGGGTTGCCATGCCTGCGTCCAAGAGATCTTCCGGACACAGGGATCGAACCCGCTTCTCCTAAGGCCTGTGGATTGCAGGCAGATTCTTTACAACTGAGTCACCCAGGAAGCCCATTCATTCACTACCTTTAGTCTAAGTTTCCATTATACCTTATCTGCTATTGCAATAGCTAGTTCTACTAAGTTCTTTCCAGATCCACTTATGTCCCACATTAATCCATTTTGTACATTATATGCAAAGAGATATTTTTGAAAAGCAAATTAATCATTTTTATCCTTTGTTAAAAAGCTATAACCTCTTCTAAAGCTATAAAGATCAAATACAGCCTATATGGCCTATATCATAGATATCCACCTCCATCTCTAGCCTCAGCTTGATTCCTTCATCCCCTTACAACATGTTCTTTAGACAAACAAATCTACGCCCTGCCACCATGAAGCCTGTGTGTACACTATTTCCTTGAACTAAAAAGACTCTGACCTCCATTGTCTGTCATCAGTTAACTCATATTTACTGTTCATATCTCAGCCCCACCATCATACTTCCCCAAAGAAATCTAAAGCAGTCACCTACACTCTTTCAAAAAACTGTATTATACCCTCTTATATTCATTAGTAACAGTATTCACTTCTGTTTACCAATCTTTATAACTCCAGAACTTGTTGTAGTTCCCGGAAATAAATACTTGCTTAATGAATAAAAGATCTGATCTCTGCCTTCCTAGCATTTATCACAGTGTTTGATAAAGGGTAGGTACTCATAAAATAATAACTAAACCAAACAAATGATTATGCAACAGAGAAATAAATGTGACAAAGTATCTAAGAAGTACTAGGAACTTTGCTGAGAGCTATAGAGGTTTCAAAGATTAATGGGAAATCCATATATTCTGTCTGCCAAGAATTTTCAAACTAGGGCTACCCCAGTTATATTTTATTCATACTCAAAAAAAAATTAGTCTTTAAAACATACCTCCACACACTAAAAAAATTGTACTTACATGCATAATCTGCAATTGCAGGTTTTGCATGAGAAATCTTACTTAGCAAAGAGGATTTTCCAGCATTTGGGAATCTGAAACAAGAAAATAAATTCATATTAATACATCACAACAAATAACAGCATTTTTAATACTTATCTCTGAATTCCCAACATTTAAAAAAACAGACTTCTTGAGTATTGCTAGAATTAAAAGAATATAAATTTATAATCATGAAAAACTTGAGGAACAAAATATAAAAAAGGTAAAGATAAATTTATGGTAAACACTGAAGATGTTTCTCTACTGACAATCAAGTAACGTTAAAAAAAAAAACCTGTAGAAAAACAAAAAGAAATTAATAAAAATACCTTCAACTCACTATCTCTAGCCAACACTGACAAAATATCTCTTATATTGTTTTGTGGATTTTTTTTTTAAAAACCATTTCATATGGACATTTCACTAGCAAAGTAATGAACCTGATTTAGCTATCATCTAGCTTCAACAAATATTAATACATTCTTAATAACTTTTTAAAAGTTGGTTTATTTAAATAAAAACCTAAATAAGGTCTGGGTATTACAACTGGTTGACGTATCTTTTAAATTTCTCTTAGTACAGGCTCCCTTTCAAACTTGTCTCCCCTTTGCAATTTTATTTTTAAAGAAACTGGGTCATTTGTCCTGTAGTTTCTTTTCCAGTCTGTTTTTTTCTGCTGACACACATGATGCCCTTTAACATATTCCTATAAATTGGTAGATATCTGATTAGATTCAGCTTTGATTCCTTTTTTCACTAAAAGGCTACTTATAGTTGGTTGGCCTCCTTTTTAAACTGAATTATATAAGGTGAATGCATTTCAAGGGTACACTGTAATTTACTTACCTAATTTCTTATTATTAGGCATTTAGGTGGTCTCAATTTTTTTTACTGTTATAAATGACATTACAAAAAATGTGCATAGAGCTAGAAAGAAATACAGCAACATTAAGTCACCTTAACATTAAGTGGTACAATTAATAGACATCTCTTTTTTTGTTTCTGCAAATGAGCACTGATTTCTTGTCAAACGTTTTTTTAAAAAAGAATTTAAACACTGATGTGAATATCCTTGAACCTTTACATATACTTTTATTCCTTGAGGTAAATTTCTAGAAAAAGAAATATTACATTAAAATATCTGGCTGTTTTAAAGGTTTTCATTTTATTGCTAAATATCCCTCAAGAAAAGCCCCCAATGGATGAAAGAAAGTACTAAGAATGGGGGCCACTTAAAAGGTAATTTCCTAAAATCATTCAGATATTTTCATTAAATTAATTCAACCAATGGGAATGTAAATTGTACAGTCACTACAAAAAAACAGTATGGAGGTTCCTTAAAAAATTAAAAACAGAACTACCATATGATCCAGCAATTTCACTTCTGGATATTTATCAAAAAAATCCCAAAACACTAACTTGAAAAGATATACACACCCCTATATTCACTGCAGCACTATTTATAATAACCAATATGTGAATACAATCCAAGGTGTCCATTAACGGATGAAAGCATACAGAAAATGTGTGTAGGGGAAGGAGGGTGTAAGACGGGTAAAGGGTGTGAAAAAGTAAAGAATCCAATTGTAGGGAATTCCCTGGTCATCCCGTGGTTAGAACTCTGTGCTTTTCAATGCCAAGGGCCTGGGTTCAGTCCCTGGTTGGGGAACTATGATCCTGCAAGCTGTGTGGCACAGCCAAAAAAAAAAATCCAGTTGTAAAATAAGTAAGTCATGGAGATATAATGTACAGCATGGTGATTATAATTAATAATCAGTACTATTTAAAAGTTGCTAAGAGAGTAAATTTTTAAAATTCTCATCACAAGAAAAAAAATTTTTTTAACTACATGTGGTGACAGATGCTAACTAGACTTACGGTGGTGATCAACATATACAAATACCAAATCATTACACTGTACACCTGAAACTAACGTTATGTGTCAAGTGTATCTCAATTTAGAAAATCATCCAACAAATACTGAGCACTGACTTCTGTTAGGCAATATACTAGGCATGACAAATACAGTAACCAACAGGAAAAATGTTATCCCTGTCTTCACAGCTTTCATTCAAATCATGATCTTTTCTCAAAACTGCCAAATTTTCATTTGGAGTAATAGTGTAATATTCTACGAATATTAACTTGCAATTCTATAAAAAACTTTAAGCTGTTAATGAAGTTCTTTAAACAATCTTATTAAAATATTTCTATAATAAATTTAGAATAAAATTACATGTGATTGCTTGACTCATTTCCCCTGGAAAAACAGTATTTTCTTATATCTTATTATACCTAGGCTCTTGTAACTTTTTGTAAAGCAAATTGCAATCAGTTTTGCCATGACTGTCACTAGCTGGACTTGCTTAATTCTAATATCCCCATATTTTCATAACAATATTAAGCAGAGAAAAATGCAACTATTTTCAAAGAGATCAAAATATAAGAAGAAAAAGGAAGCTAATGATTGAAGAACCAATAACAGATTTTTCTTGAAAGTTACCTAATGAAGATTTTACAGTCTGAGGTCCAACCCATGCAAAGATCAGATTTAACCACAGCAGTACAAGTATACTAGTTATATGATAACTTGCTTTCCAGGCTCAGTTCATTCCTGAAGCTGGCTTAAAGGTTAAGGGATATCTGCTTATGCTGGTATTCACATTATGTAACTTTTTAAGAATAGTTACCTAATTAAAAGCACTAGCAGACATGTTAAACATTGTGCTCTACAATCATGATGCTTGATATTAACTAATATGAAGTCCACTTCTGAAAAGCTTAGTTATTTCACTATATGTGGTCTCTAATAAGTTGACAATATATGATGATGATAATGATAATGATAATGACAGCAGCTACCACTCACTCACTGAGCATTCACAAATCCAAGACATCTGTTATGCTGCAAATGCAATCTTACTCAGTAATAACATTTTTAAGGCAGGACTATTGCCATCCTCTATTAAAGAGAAAACAAAGGCTTAGAGATATTGTATTCAAGACCATCCAGCCGGCCTTCAGAAGATTTGAGATTCTAACACAAACAGTCTCACTTGAGTCTCCCATCACCATCCCACTTTTATTCACTACTCAACCTTGGTATGTTCTTCTTAGGCTGTAAGGGTATCTCTATGGAAACAGAAACATATTTTTCCAGAAAATGAGAAAGTGAATGGCTGGATTCTCAGTCTTATCCACAAAATCCTATCTAGTCCATAAAGTTCCTAAAAATATACACTGGGTTGGCCAAAAAGCTCTTTCACAACAAAACATCTTATGGAAAAACCCAAACAAACTTTTTGTCCAACCCAATAGTATTACAGAACTGATGACTCGTTACCCTCATAACTATGTTTTATTGAAAAAATTAAATGTGAATAGCAAGCTTTAATGCCAAGATGTCATCTTTCTCTGTTACAACTTCAGCAGGTATGAGGCCTCTGTGAACCCTAAGCCCCTGCTGGTAAGATTTAGACAGGCATGGAAAGAGGTGAGGAGTTCAGAGTGAAGAGTGTGACAAAGAAGCAGTGAGATGTGAGAAGAGGAAGATGAAAAGAGGTGAGAAACTACGGGAAGGCAGGGAATGGAAGTGGCAGTGGGAGTAGAGCAGCAGTTTCTGCTCCCTTCTCCTTAGGTCTTCCATCTGACTGTTGTGGACTGCTGCAGTGGAGCTTGGGAGGGGAAGACAGAGGGAGAGGAAACACGCAAAGCTGAGCATTTCCCTTCCTTTACCTACCTTCTACCTTGCTACCTATCTCCCTCCAGCTGGTGCCAGCAAAGCTGAGCATTTCCCTTCCTTTATCTGCCTTCTACCTTGCTATCTATCTCCCGCCAGCTGGTGCCAGCACCACAAACCCTACAGCGAAATAGCACTGTTTGATGAAGGTGGAGGCTGATGAAAGAGAAAAACACTGTAAGAGCTGCAGTGCTGAGAATGGACAGTTCCTAAACAGAGTGAAGGACAAGGGATTGGTCATTACAAGATCCAACGTGGTGCTCAACAGTGTGTAAAGCTAATGGCTGAGATCAACTGGACCAGTCTTTAGCCATCTGACTGATGATACTTCAATAACTCTATTAAAACTTGTAAGAATATCTTAGTCATTTTCCCCCTACTCTTTATTTCTACATACTTTTTAAGATGTGGTTTGTTTGGGTTTTTAATTTCATTCCTAATATCTGGTAACATTCTTTTACCCTCTTATACTACTGCATTTGACTGATTTTTCTGCAAAAAGATAGGACACTGAAAGATGAACTCCCCAGGTCAGTAGGTACCCAATATGCTACTGGAGAATAATGCTAGTGCTAAGTCGCTCAGTCATATCTGACTCTTTGTGACCCCTTGGACTGCAGCCAGCCAGGCTCCTCTGTCCATGGGATTCTCCAGGCAAGAGTACTGGAGTTGGTTGCCATTTCCTTCTCCAGGTGATCTTCCCAACGCAGGGATCGAACCCGTGTCTCTTTTATCTCCTGCATTGGCAGGCAGGTTCTTTATCACTAGCGCCACCTGGGAAGCCCCTTGGGCTCCCCTGGTGGCTCAGATGGTAAAGCGTCTGCCTGCCAATGCAGGAGACCCAGGTTCAATCCTTGGGTCAGGAAGATCCCCTGGAGAAGGAAATGGCAACCCACTCCAGTACTCTTGCCTGGAGAATCCCATGAACAGAGGAGCCTGGTGGGCTACAGTCCGTGGAGTTGTAAAGAGTCAGACGTGACTTAGTGACTAAGCACACACAGTGAACTTGTGGACCTCTTTGGGTTGATCTTATTTGGGACTCTCTGTACTTTCTGGGCCTGGATATCTTTTTCCTTTCCAAGGTTAGGGAAGTTTTCTGCCATTATGTCTTTAAATGCATTCTCTGCCCCTTTCTTTTCCTTCTTGGATTTGTATACTGTGAATGTCTGTGTGCTTGATGTTGTCCCAGAGGTCACTTAAACTGTCCTCATTTTTTTTGTTTCCATTTTTATTGCAGTATATAGTTGTTGACAATGTTGTGCTAGTTTCTCCCGTGCAGTAAAGTGAGTATGTATGTTTATGTATGTATACATACCTCCCCTCTTTTTTGGATTACCTTCCCACTTAGGTCACGGTAGAGCACTGCGTAGGCTTCCCTAAGCCTCTCCAGCATCTTCTCATTAGTTATCTACTTTACACATAGTGTCTGCTGCTGCTGCTAAGTCACTTCAGTCGTGTCCGACTGTGCAACCCCATAGACAGCAGCCCCCCAGGCTCCTCTGTCCCTGGGACTCTCCAGGCAAGAACACTGGAGTGGGTTGCTGTTTCCTTCTCCAGTGCGTGGAAGTGAAGTCGGTCAGGCGTGTGTGACTGTTAGCAACCCCATGGACCGCAGCCTACCACACTCCTCCATCCATGGGATTTTCCAGGCAAGAGTACTGGAGTGGG